TCTCCTTTTGATGCCAAAGAACATTACAATCTAGTATTGAGACCATTGGCTTTTGACTTGATTCCAAGAAGATGCACTATCTTTGAAGGCTGCCCTGTACATGTTTTCAGCTGCCTTGTAGATACACTTTGTTTCAACAGCTCCTGATGTTGTGCGATTGTTTGGGTATTGAAATACGCACCACCCTTGCCCTGGTGCCTTGGGTCGGGCCTCAGGAGACTGGTGTGAAAGTAAATGCAGAGTTTCTAATGTGGATGTAATTTCCCTTCCATCGACCTTGACCGTGTCTTTTTAAGTTCCTCATAAAAATTGTGTTAGCCCAGAGAATACCCTGAAATGATCTGTAAGGAACTGATTGAATGAACTACATATTCCAGGACAAACTGAAACTGTCTGCTCTTTGAAGTCAGAGCAGAGTGTGATGCAATGCAGGTTAATAGATCAGGGGAAGCTGTCTTGTCAGCTCCTGAAAAGGTGAGAGAACTAAATTTGTATAATAAATCGTTTTGCTGAGCAAACAACATGGTGCAGTTATTATGGACTTTGGGAAATAAATGATTGTAGGCTAACATCAGGCTCCAGATACTGATGTAGTATTCGAGCCTTTGAAACAAGAAGAGTGGAAAACCTTTAGAATGTTGTGGACACACAGGATGAAAGCAGGTGCAAATCCAATTCATGACCACACTTTTAAGATCACGTTATAGTTGTGGTATTAACCTCTGGACATTTTTGTACTAGTTGTTGAGGGTGGTTTGCTTGGTAGGATTAATTTTGTTGGGGGCAGGCAGCAGTTTGGAGAGACCATGAAGACTCTGTGGAGGATGAGTTCCCAGGTGAGACCCCCGTCTTGGTCCCATCTGTGGACACCAGAGGCCACGCTTCACGTCTTCAAAGCCCCGATCGTGTTTAAATAACCAGCGAGTTGTAACTAGTTGTATTCTCTTTGACCTTTCAAGAAGAATGCCCCTCAGAAAACTGAATAATGAGCCTACAGACTTTTAAAATAATCTGAACTTTTTATCACCAACTGCATCCCTGGTTCCTTCCATTGTCTCCTTCTGTGGTTTCTGGTCCCTTCTGTGAATGGGACCTGCAGCCCCTCTGGGCCCAGCTGTCACCACAATCCCTGGTATTGAATGGCCCTGCTCAGCAACAGCAGAGCACAGTGTTGTCATCATCATTGAAAAGCTCAGGAAAGACAAGAGTTGCTCTCGTAATGAGAGGTAAGTGTAGTTGTCGTTATCACAATCAATATTTTGGTCAGTTTAGCAGTTGCTTAGTAACCAAAGTTAAACCAACCAGGAGATGGAAAACTTCAACTTCATTTCCAGGGATTGCCTCAAAATGCCGAGATGGTACCTTCCTGTTTAAATGTGACTAATTTTTTATAAGTGACTTGAAATCTTTTGGAGATGAGGCACTGTTTTCTGGATATTAGGTATCCTAATGAACATCTAAAGCCATTCACTGTCTGAGAAGAATCCAGAGAGTCTGTGCATTTGCGAGGAGGCTCCCGAGCCCACCTGGGCCCCATAAGCCTGGCAGTATCTGGATGCCACTTCCCGATCCCCAAGAATCCAGCTCTGGGCTTCTTGGATCCCTTCCTTCTCTAGTCCCAGTGTGTGTCCGAACCTGGACCTGGCCCCTTGGCCACTCGCAACAGCCAGGCAAGGAGTGGGGAGTGGATGAAAACAGCCAAGGGTGGTCTGGGCCTGCAAGCAGCTGTGCCTCCACCCGGTCAGCTCCAAGCGCTCAGGATGGGGAATAGCTCCCAGGGAGACTGTCCCCTCCTGGTGCTGGTTCTCCCTGAGAATTAAAGGCCAAGCAAAGGGCAGCAGAGGTGAGGAGTCTGGGGTCTGAGGCCTTCCCCCCACTTCTTCATTTAGCAAAAATGCTAAACACCTACTGTGTGCCTTTCTTCCTCACTTCATCTTGAGAAAGACACAGCAGGGCTGGCTTCTCTGTCCTCCCCCCATATACACTGCCAGAAAGAGTGGCCAGTACTGCCAGGGGACCTGAGCACACAGGCAGAAAGAGCTGTGCCCTGAGGAGGACAGCCCCTCTGAAAGACAGGCCCAGAACCCAGCAGGACAGATGGCCACGAAGACAAAATACTCATGAGAAATACACTCCAGGAAACAAGGGAAGACACTAGCAATCTAAAATGAAAACAAGGAGTAATTTTAAAATGAACCAGGTGGAAATAACTGGTGGGAAAATTGAACAACTAAACTAAGGAGCAAAGGAGAAAGGTCGATTGCAGTGTGGGTACAGCTAAAGATCAGTTAGATCAGGAAACTTCCCAAAGGCAGCAGGAAGGGATAAAGAAATACAAAACAGCAAAGAAAGGTTGAATGATGTGGAGGACAGAAGTAGGTGTGCCCACGATGTCCAAGTTACAGGAGTCCCAAACAGAGTGGAAGAAGTAGTCGAATGAAGATAAATCACCCATAATTAAAGAAAGACGAAAGTGTTCTTTGCGTACCAAACAGGAGACATGAGGAAAGTCCTCACCTAGACACACACTCAGGGTCTCTGCTCACTCGGCCCTGCCTTCCCTGTTCTCCTCCCACGCTCTGCAGCCAGCTCTGCTGATGTGCTTGAGAAGCCAGGCCTTGTCAACCTCCTTCCCCTGCCAGTCTTGCTTGGGGCACTCAGCAGTTAGGCGTCTCCATCTTTTTCTTCTAAATCTGTGGCACTGGCAGGAGGTGTAGAAATCACATCTACGTCTATAGGTGCCCAACCCAGGGCCAAAAAACTTGCAGGTATCCGAGATGCTCACAGAACAAGTGAGTGAATGACATGGGTAGCTGGGGACATTCACTGTGTGTATCTGGACTTTGTAAATGCATGGTAGGAACTGTCTGATTAAAGTTCAAAACTGCTTAAAACTTGTGATTTGTCTTAAGAAAAGTTTGTAAACTTTCTGTTTCATTTTGCATCCAATGGAGTCTATACTCTGAATCCTTCATCAACAGGTTGTCAAGGTAGTAGCTTTCTGTATTGACTGCAGATTATCCTTTTCTGTTGTGTTTAAGCCCCTTAACGCTTCTTAGGCTTTTTTTTTTTTAACCTTTCATAGTTATTAGACCATCTTTGCATAGCAGTTTTGTGTAAGATCTTGGAGGTTTCAGTTTGAGATGATACAGTGAGATGTTTTGTAATTTAAGATGCCTCCACCCCCCACCCCCCATCCAATCACACCCAGCTCTTCACTGCAGAGGCCCAGTTTGGGTATTTTTCTTACAAAGACACTGCCTTCTTCATAAAATTGTCCTAAAAATAGCTTCATTTAACTAGGCCATTTAATGGGCTGTTTCAGACTTTTCCCAGACCAGTCTGAAAGCCAGATACTATTTCTAACAGATACAGTGAGCACTGAACGTGATCACAAGGCATCTGTTAAGGCATTCGGGCTGCTGGGAGTTGATAAGATTGCCTCAAGTCACAGTGTGCACTAAAAGGCTAGAAACCTCAGGCCATGAGAACAGACCAGCCCGGGGACCTGAAGACAGTTTTTCTAGCTCTCAGTGTTGACAGTATGTGGGGTGCTCTTGCTCGGTGTGTGCCTCTATAGGACCAGTGATGCAGGTTTCAAGGGGACAGGATCACAGTGTGCACTTAAAGGCTAGAAACCTCAGGCCATGAGAACAGACCAGCCCGGGGACCTGAAGACAGTTTTTCTAGCTCTCAGTGTTGACAGTATGCGGGGTGCTCTTGCTCGGTGTGTGCCTCTATAGGACCAGTGATGCAGGTTTCAAGGGGACAGGAGAACTCTTGCATAGTCAGGACTGTCCTGTGGACATAGGGCAGAGTCCAGGGACAGAGGGCAAATGAGGCGCACAGCCCAGCCCTTACCACGTGTGGGGGTGTCAGGTGAAAACTCAAACTTGCAAACTAGGGAGAAGGGGCTGTGCCATCCTCTAAGATGGAACAGGGACTCAGGTGCACAGGGACTTGGAGCAAGACAACAGGAGGCCACATCAGGAGTGGGCCCTGAACCCCAGCAAGTGTCTCTGTGACTGGAATATCCCACTCCCTTTTACATGGGTGTGCTAAGACCTTCCTTGGTTCACAGCCAGTCTCAGCCTGCGGCCTCCTCAGGGAGCATCATCAGGACCTGTCCTGCAGAAGTTGCAGCACTGATTTGTCCGGGTGTCCTATTCTAACCCACCACAGACTTGGAATTGGCCAAGCCCTTCTCGAGAGGACTCGCAGCATTCCTCTGTCATGATGTTGTATGTTGGAACTATGGTATTTGCCTTCAGATTACTCAAAAAAGAAAAACAAAAAAGAAAAAAAACATAACCTGGCAACCCCTCTTTTGGGTGCAGACCAGGTAACAGCAGCGAGCTCAGGTGGTTTACCCTGCAGGCTGCAGAGGCCCCGACCTGCGTCTCCATCCTCGCCTGCTGGCTGCCTTCTCACACTTCCAGTGGTTCCGGCCAAGGCCTTCACTGCCAAGTGCCTTTTCCTAAAGCAGCCTTTCCCCAGCTCCTTTTCTCACCCCCAGCCTGGCAAACTTCTGCTCATCCTTGAAAACCCAGCTCACCTGTCACCTCCTCTGAAGCCTTCCCTGACTCCCTCCCCCAACGAGAATTCATCTCTCCCTCTGCTTTTCCAGAGCACTCTGTTCAGAGCTCTAATTGAATGCTTGGCAGGACACACTGTATTTTATATTTTTATGGCTGTCTCCCCTCAGTGGTATTGGGAGCCCCTCAAGGGCAGGCAGCCCCTGTTCCCCATACACATGATTATCAAAAGAGCAAAGGAAACCAGCAGGCATGCCTTCCCAGTGTGAGCCCATCTCATCCCAACGGGCAGCCGTGACCCTCCCAGGTCTGCACGGCCCTCCTCTCCCCAACGCCGAGGACCGAGCCTTGCCTGTGTGAATATGGTCTTCCCACCAAGTTCTGAACCAGAGGCTGTCCCTGTGGCCGCCTCCCTTCGCCCGCCTTGCTGCTGACTAATGCGCTCTCTCCCTCTCGCCTTCCTAGGGCTGACGAGATTGAAATGATCATGACGGACCTCGAAAGAGCAAACCAGGTAGGATGTTTAAAAGCTTTTAGGCCTAAAACCACAACAGCGAGTCCATTTCTGTCATCTCAGAAGATGCTTCGCTCTAAGTTAGGCCAGTTATTCTTAAATTTTTCACTTACAGCTATCAACATCGACACTTTTTCTGATGTCGTGAGAGATAGCAAAATACATGAAAAGTCACCGGCATTACTTCCTTAGTAAAGTCTTTGCTATGGTCCTGGCATCGCAGACATCGCATGGCAGATATCCACTACGAAGTGGCTCCTTTTTCTTAATCTCTTAGATATCCGTCTCTGTACCCCCAACACCCATTACATTGCAGAGTTTGTACCTTAGAGTTACGCAGTAGAGAATTCTTTTCGCCACCTTCTGTGGGGTTGCAGGCACTTGCTCTGGAGAGGGCTCCTGGCTGACGGCCCCTCCTGGCTGGTGCTTACTTGTCAGGGGTACCTTATGGAAAATACCCAGCGCAGTGTCTGGCACAAAATAGGCACATGGTATTGGGTGGTTCTAAATGCTCAGCTGCCTGGAAAATTCAGCCACCCTGAAAAACCCCTCCCTTCCCCAAGGACTCCACAGAACAATAAAACATTTTGCTTTAGCAAATGATACTGCCACTTTGAAAAGAAAAAGGTCTCCCATTTATTTTCTTTCCTCGTGGGGAGAAGCAGCCAAAGCTGTAATGATGTTTCTCAGCCCAGAAGGCCACGGGCAGTGGCCTCTTCCCACTCAGTTTTACAGCTGGGAAATTTTACAGGCACACGAAGTCATGTGGTTCGCCTCAGGTCCCCCAGGCAAGTGGAGCCCCGTGGAGTGAATACCCTTCTCAGGCGCCCCCCTGTGCTGGTGTGGCTTGCCTGCACATTAGCACATGCACAGGGAAGAGCATCCCTGTTCTTTCCTTGGCCAATAGAAACAACCTAGAGTCTGAACTGTGAAAGTCAGCTTATTTGTGGGAATGATCTTGGAAGCAGATTTCTTTTTTCCTCAAGAGAAAAAGGGCACAGTGGGCACAGTGTTGGATGCTCACACTCACCACTGAGGGTCCTGGGCCCAGCCAGATGCTCAGGAGAGATGTATGGAATGAATCACCTGAGATCTGATTTGTAGTATTAGAATCTGTATTAATCCATTTTGTGTTGCTATAACAATACCTGCAACTGGGTAATTTATGAAGAACAGAGGTTATTTGGCTCATGATTCTGGGACAGCCACATCTGGCGCGGGCCTCAGGCTGCTGCTACTCATGGCGGAAAGCAGCAGCCAGTGGTTGCAAGATCATATGGCGGGAGGAAGAGAGGGAGGTGCCAGCATCCTTTAACAGCAGCTCTCTCAGGAACTAATACAGCAAGAACTCACTCACTAGGCCCCAGCCCCCAGAGTGTATTAATCTATTCATGAGGGATCCTGCTCCCTGTGACCCCAACAGCTCCCAACACTGTCCCATTGGGGATCAGATTTCAGCACGAGCTCTGGGGGGACAGCACGTCCAGACTGTCAGTGTCACAGCAGTTGTCAGAAGAGCTGACCATTCTTGAGTACTCATTTTGTGCCTAGCTCTGTTCTAAGCACTTTCCCTGAATTGGAGCACTTTAGACCTCACAGCAGCCTACTAAGGTCAATGCTGGTAGGATCCCCATTTTACAGCTGAGGAAACTGAGGCCGGTGGCTGGTTGGTTGCCGAGCTGTGACTGGAATCCCCGAAGGCTGGCTCTGAAGCCTGTACTGAGGTCAATGCTGGTAGGATCCCCATTTTACAGCTGAGGAAACTGAGGCCAGTGGCTGGTTGGTTGCCGAGCTGTGACTGGAATCCCCGAAGGCTGGCTCTGAAGCCTGTACTCTTGACCAGCACACCCAGAAACAGGGAGGCAGAACACCTGCTGGCCCAGCCTTTCTTTCAAATTGTCTTGTTCCCCAGCATGTTGGTGCACACATCTCATGGCTGTAAAGCGCTGGTCCCCTTCCATCCTGAAGGTGCTTGGGCATTTACTTTTATTTGCTGCCTGACTGGCTTTGGCCCCTAGTTTTCACTGTTTGCCCTGCTTATCTCTGCAGAGATCTTAAGGCAGGTGCACATATTGGGAGAAGCAAACTTCTTTGTCATATGGTTGCCATGTGTATTTCTCAAATGTCCACCCACTCTCCCCCCAAGGCCAGTCTTGGGCAAACTGCCCTTTTGATGGCACTTTGGGGTAAACTCTGTTTTGTTAGAGTATCAGGTGCTGTCGGGAACCGACTCTGTGCTCTCAGGTGCTGGCGAAGTTTGCTAGAGGTGATGCACTTCTCAAGGTGCTGAAGTCACTCCTAGGACCATAGACAAAGGGGACACTGGGTTTAGGTCCTACTTCTGGCTACACGACTTTGACAGGCTTCTTAACCTCTTAAATTTCTTTACCTTAAAAAAAGAAAAGAAAGGTGAACCTTGAGGACATTATGCTAAGGAAATAAGCCAGTCCCAGGGAAGACATTCTGTATGATTCCACCCATATGAGGTGTCTAGAGGAGTCAGATGAAAAGAAAGAGGAGGTGTGCTGGTGGCTGCCCAGGGCTAGGGGGAGGGGGAGGATGGGTTGTTGTTAAATGGGTACAAAGTTTCAGTTTTGCAAAATGAAAAAGTTGTGGAGATCGGTTACACAACAGTGGAGTGTACTTGACACTCTTGAACTGTACACTTAGAAATGGTTAAGAAGGTAAATTTGATGGTTAAGAAGGTAAATTTGATGGTTAAGAAGGTAAATTTGATGGTTAAGAAGGTAAATTTGATGGTTAAGAAGGTAAATTTGATGGTTAAGAAGGTAAATTTGATGGTTAAGAAGGTAAATTTGATGGTTAAGAAGGTAAATTTGATGGTTAAGAAGGTAAATTTGATGGTTAAGAAGGTAAATTTGATGGTTAAGAAGGTAAATTTGATGGTTAAGAAGGTAAATTTGATGGTTAAGAAGGTAAATTTGATGGTTAAGAAGGTAAATTTGATGGTTAAGAAGGTAAATTTGATGGTTAAGAAGGTAAATTTGATGGTTAAGAAGGTAAATTTGATGGTTAAGAAGGTAAATTTGATGGTTAAGAAGGTAAATTTGATGGTTAAGAAGGTAAATTTGATGGTTAAGAAGGTAAATTTGATGGTTAAGAAGGTAAATTTGATGCTGTGTGTATTTTACCACAATTAAAATGTAGAATTTTTTTTTTAAAGAAAGGGAGGGAGAGAACAGCAGCAAGGACTACTGGTGCAAGACTGTTCTGAAATTGTTCTGAAGGATTGTTTTGGAGGGAGGCCACTCCAGAGGTGCCCTCCGCAGGGGCACACTCTGAGGGGAGCAACTCCCAGTCCCAGAGCTACATCAGCAGTTGTGGCCAGAATCATGCATGGCGTGGACAGAAAGAGGGATTGAACTAAATGACTCAGTGTGTCCCTTTAGACCCTGAGGTCCAGGATTGTATGAAGATACAGGTGAACCCACCGGTGCAAGAGAACATCCAAGTAGGAAAGATGTAAGCCCCGGAATGTTGAAAGAATAATCCCCAGGGAAAAGATGCAAGGAAAAGGAAACGAAAGTCTAAAGGAAAGCCAGAGAAGGTGACGCAGTGGCCTGGACCTCAAACAAGGAGAAACTGCCCTGGGTGGGCACGAGGAGAAGGCATTCCAGGTGGGCGTGCAGGGGCCAGTGAGCCCCCAGCGGGGCAGGCCATCCCATCAGGCGGGAGCCAGGAGGTGAAGGTTGGAGAGTGGGCTGATGGAAGGGGTCTGGCCAGGTTCATGGGAGGCCTCAAGCATATAGGACTTCACCCTGAAAACAGCAGGGCAGGACTGTGACATCAGATTTGAGTTCTAAAAGAATCACTGTGGCTAAACTGAAGAACAGATGGCAGTGCAAAGACCAGAAGCTGGGAGAGCAGTAAGCAGCTGTCGTGATGGGACAGGGAAAGAGGACACCGGCCCAAGACGAGGCCATGCCCGTGGACTTGAGGTGGAGGTGGCTGGGCAGGAGGAGGGATGCAGGAGAGAGCCAGCCACCAGAGCAGGTGCAGCAGAGCAGACATCTGGACTGACCACCTTTCCCATCAGGGGAACCCCAGGAGGAGCAATTTGCTAGTTCATTGGCATATAACATTATTTTTACACTAGGTTTATCATCACGATGTTCCACTGAGACCTGACGCTCTATTTTATTGCTCAAGTACTCGCGTTTCTATTACAGAAAAGCAGAAGAGCAGTCAGCAGCTGTCAATTGTGGGTCTCATTTAACCCTGTTTGTTAAACTTGAAGGCACTTGCATTAATACTCACCATCTTAATTGGTGACAGTGAATGTTCAGAACTTTGGAGGCTTTGTGGTAAATAAAAAGCCACAACTTTGAACTGCAAGTGAAGCCCCATCTAGGGCTCTGGGAATTCACTGACATCTGCACGTCCACCGGCTTCTGTGCAGCTGTCTGTCTGCTGGCTGCCCTTCCTTGTGGAGCAGCTCTGATTGGAGTTGCCAGTGGCACAAAGCCACAGCAGCAGGGCCAGGAGGAAGTCGTTTAAGTGGTTGTATCCACCGGCTTCTGTGCAGCTGTCTGTCTGCTGGCTGCCCTTCCTTGTGGAGCAGCTCTGATCGGAGTTGCCAGTGGCACAAAGCCACAGCAGCAGGGCCAGGAGGAAGTCGTTTAAGTGGTTGTCCCCCTCCTGTTAACCTGCCTGATTTTTATGGAGCGAGACTGCCCTAATGGAAGACGCTTCAGGTTGAGGTTAGGGTTGGAAACCACAATTTAATCTCACCAAGGAGAACGAGCCAAGTGTAGAGAGAAATGCAAAGAGCAAATGGAACTCCTAGCATAGTGTGGCATGCTCTGGCCGAGGAGTTTGTGCTCTGGTAGGGAAGGGTGCCTGAGTTTGGAGTCAGGAAACCCAAGTTGGAATCCCAGGTCACCATTTCCTACCCACGTGGACTTAGCAAATCCTGGATCTCCAGGGCCTCGTTTCCCCATCTATAAAATGGGGGTAATGACTCACACCTCTGAGAGGGTATTCATTCACTTCCATCCCCAATCATTTGGCAGATCTTTCTGAGCACCTGCTCTGAACAGGCCCATCCATGCTGGCACCGCACAGGTGCTGAGGAAATGCTGCTGGCATGTGGCTGAGTCTAGTGCCCCTTCTGCTGGGCCAGCCACGTGCGTGACTTGGTTACTCCTTAGGGCTCCTGGGCACCTTAGTTTTTCCCTATAATAAGTTGGGCCCCTAGCCCAAGTCAGGCTTGTCCAGGAGGCCTTCAGAGAGCCCTGGGGACACACATGGAAGGCCTTTGTGGTGGGAGGAGGTAGAGAAATCCGCTTTTCTGGCTGTCCTAAAATCATGACTCAGTCAGTGACCAGCAGTGTTTACATGGGTGTATTGCTATAGTTCCAGCTTGGAAATCCAAATCAGTGTCCTTACATCCCCCAGATACACAGACAGTGGGTCTCAAGGAGGCCTTGGCTATCACTGCCGTGTCAACTTGGGACATGTGGCAATAAATTTCTCATTTTCAGCCCGTGGCAGGCTTTTCTGACCTCCTTCCTACAGAGTCACCGACACGGGGTTGCCTCTGAGAATCTGCATGTTGTCTGTAGTCACATGTGGGGAGTCAGCACCCAGACAGCTCACAGGGCTGCTTTGTCCCTGAAGGGACTAGCTCATCTCTGGTCTTCCCGAGCCCAGGGTTTAATGGCCACACACTCAGAAGAGGACAAGGGAAAAGCTTAGGCTCAAGCAGGGTGGGAGATTGGATCAGAGACCCCCCACTACCACTCTGTAAAACCAGGGATCTCAAAGGCTACACCTTAAAAAGGTAAACTGGAAGGGAAAAAAGCCTGCCCTGCAGGGGAGACTGAGCGTTCTCTCACATCTCACCCTTGTTCTGGGGAAGAAGAAAATGTGTCTTCTAAAGAATTCCTAACCACAGCCACCTTTCCAGCACTGGCTGAGGCCTGCCTCCCTAGCCCACCCCCCAGACCTCGGTCCCTCCGGGCTGCAGCTGCCTCGAGGCCCGCCTGTGTACCCACTCCTCTGTGTCCCCACTCCTCTGTGTCCTTCCCCACAGTGCTTCTCCCCACATTTTATGAATCAGATTGTTCAGGTCCCTCCGGGCTGCAGCTGCCTCGAGGCCCGCCTGTGTACCCACTCCTCTGTGTCCTTCCCCACAGTGCTTCTCCCCACATTTTATGAATCAGATTGTTCAGACTTTAAGGTCTGGAAGTAGCTGTCAAAATCTGTATTCACCTTCTAATGTATGCTTCTAAGGCACTGAGGTTAGGGAAAAGCGTTTTTTACTGCCCTTCTGGGGCACTCCCAGGAGCCTTTTGAGGGTGGGGTTGGGCAGGGGTTCCCCCATGGACCTCCCTCTAGGAAGAGGTGACACCACGGGCCCACAGTTCAGGCTGCCCTTCCCTGAATCACCCAGTGACCAGTGCAACAGTGGTCTGGGGAGCAGAACAGCCTCCTCACCTCCCCTAGAGATGCCAAGCTCATCTGTGACTCAGGCTGGCCAGTGTCACATGTGGGAATCATCACTACTGTTTGCTGGCTTGACTCTAACAGGAAGAATTCTTAAAACAAAGTGACACTGGCCACTTCCTACCTTCCACATGACTGCTAAAGGGAGATGGAGTTTAACCTAAGACTAGCTTGCAGTCTCTTGTAATTTCCCTTTAAAAAGCCTTCTATTCTAAGATGAGAGAAGCCTGCTGACCACCAGCACACACAAAGGGCCTTCATAAGGACAAGGACACTGTCACTGCAGCGTGGCACTTAGGTCCCTGGCTTGGGTGAGCCCATTGGCCTCACACATCTCGCAGGGCAACTGTTTGCTTTCATTGTGGTCAGGGTCACCTCCAAATGCAAGCAGCATCCTCATCCACTTGTGGGCCCTCTTTTTCCCCTCCTTCCAGCATTCACTCTCTTTTTTCAAAAAAGCACAGAAAGTGAGCAAGAGTCTGTGAGAGAACTCTCTCAGGAGAGTCACTCAGGTGTGGCAAGGCGCTCTTCTCTTTCTGGACCAGTCACAGAATCACAACGAGGGCTGCCTCTAGCCTTCCATGGCAGAGCATGGCCCCCAGGAGCCATGGCTGTGGCCGTGACCCTCTGTCTCTGCAGGGACAGGGAAGAGGGGGGAGCCCGTCAGCGAGCTCAGGGAGTTGGTATCTCGCAGCAGCCACAGCACTGTCTGCAGTCCCACAACAGCTGCAGCGGGCTGAATTTGTCTTCAGGAAAACACGAGATCCTCAAAACAAGTGACTCTACGGTGCTGACCCAGCATGGCACCCCCTTCTTTCTGCCTCAGCTGCCAACCATGGACCAAGCTTAGTGATCAACAACAGAAATGAGTCCGTCCCAGCTGCATGTTGGCGCCTGCTTCTCTGCGCCCTTCTTCAGCTGCTCTTAGCCTGTTTTTATTTTTAATTCTTCTGCTTTGTGTATGTTTAACTGCACAAACCACTCAACTCTTTCCTGTTGGTTTTTTGTTGGGTTTTTTTGGATGCAGTCATCCAAAAATAAATAACCTAAATAAATATATAATCAAAAAAGTTGCACTGAAGTTACCAAGGTGAGCCAAGTGCAATAGAAGACTGTGACTACCAAGAGACGGGCCACAGAGTGACACTTTTCGTGAGCTTGGAAACGGAATGCAAGCACGGACGCTCTGCAGCAGTATAAGGATGAAATCATCCACGGCTAGGTCCCTTACTCTGTGAGTCATCTCCTTTGATGAGACAGGACTCTGCTCTGAAGGCTAAGTTCCTGCCTGAGATCCTCGCAGGCTCCCGCGTACATCTCAGGAACCAACTGCCTGGGCCTTGCCCTGCTCTGGTCATTCTGGCACACTGCAGAACCAGCGTTGCAAGTCGTGGTGGGGATGCCACCTCCTTATCTGCAACCAGAACACCTTCTCCACTGGGCTAAGAAATAATTTTCCCTGTCAAGGACACTAGGAAATATATCAAAATATGCCTTATTCCTGGTAGAGTCGCGGAGATTAGCTGACCAGCAAGAGAAGAGTAAACTTTTCAGTATAGGACGTGATTGTCAGAAAAAGTTGGAGTGGCACATCTGGAAATAAACTGAGGAGATCTTTCTCATTGAAAAGGAAGTATTTCTGCAGCCTTAAGTTTAGTAGTTACCATGAACCAGAAATCACCCCTGCTGTCCTAGCCACACCGGTCCCATTGCTGCCTTTCCTGACGGCTGCCTCTGGATTCCTTTCAGAGCAGAGGGTGGGAGGAGACTGCGTGGGCATAGACACACCCGGCCTGGCGCCCTGTGTGCATTCCAAGAGCTCCCCAGCAGCAGGGCAGGCGGCTGCCAATACCGCCCTGGGCAGAAGTAACTGCCATTAGAAACATCCTATTTTGTCTGTACGGAGTAGATAGATTCAGTGCTGCTGCTGCAGAATCACTCAAGGCTGCCAAACCCATTCCTCATACAACTAGATTGATCAGCAAGTACCTGGGCAGGCTACCTAACTTCCTTCTTCTCCTTGTGAGTTGTCTCTTAGCAATTAGTAGACACCTGCTGTCACACCACAAAAAAAAGAGAACACACAAAGTTACCCTGCTCAACAGGATCTCCTGTTAATCTTTACTGCTAGTGGAATGTAAGTCTGGTAGAGAGAAGTGACACATCACTGTCTACACATCCAGTGTCATTAGCTACCATTTCCTACCAGCCTTGGAGTTTGGTGTCAGTCACAATTGTAAAACCAGGACAAGCTCATTAATAAACTACTTCTGCATGAGTTCTGTGTACCGTGCACTTCCATGGTCTCTGAGAAGGGACAATGTTCCCATTTTACAGATGGGCAGAAGTTTCCGTGATCTCAGGAAACTTGCCCTGCTTCCTCTGTTCCTAGACACCCTGTCAGGTAGCAGGAACTGGAGTGACCTGTCCTTGCCATCCAGTGAGAAATCCTGGCCAGCTCTCCAGTGGCAGTGGTTTCCTTACCAGGAATTACAGGCAAATGATTGAAGGATGCACTCATTTCTCCTGCAGCCCCCCACGCTTGCCTGGGCTGCCCTCCCACCTCTGGCCCCAGATCAGCTGGGTGGCTGCAGATGCCAGCATCGACACTTGAAAACTTTGTCAGGTGAAGGGTTAAATATGTTGAAATAAGCCCGGCTTTACAAAAGAAGCGGCATTACACTCCGTACATTTATGGAGAGACTTGCTGGAAGAAAACAACCACAACATTGTGCATGTTTTTAGGGAGAGAATGGCCAAAGTGTCTTTAATTCACTGTTTACCCGTGAGAATTACTCCCGGGAGTAATCCTGCAATAAAATCTTCTTGGTCTATGAGAATAGAAAGAAATTGAATCAAAAGACTCTATTTCCACTTGTATTTATTCAGCCTGGGAAATTCAGTGGGCCGGAGCATTAGTATCAGCAGGGGATTCCTTGCTCCTAGCGTTAAATTACTGTCATAATCGCTCAATTATTTCTTCCTTGTACTGTTTAAAATAAAAATCCATCACATTCTGTGTTTTTTCCTAGCATTTATTAGGTTGAGTGTTTAGGAAAATCAATTATAGTCAGCCAGGCATGGATTGATGAATGTTCTTGTAATAATTGTCAGTTGTTAAACTGAATGTACTTTCTCTTCTCACCCCTTTTCATTTCCTTCAGAGGGCAGAGGTGGCGCAGAGAGAGGCAGAGACCCTCAAGGAGCAGCTCTCGTCAGCCAACCACTCTCTCCAGCTGGCCTCGCAGATCCAGAAGGCTCCGGATGTGGTGGGTAGCCCGGCTCCTGGCGCTGCACCTTCGTACTCCAGCCGCCTGCTGCTTTTTGTCTTCACCGTCTCTTTTTGGAACAATATTGTAACCAGTGCTGCTTTCTTGGTGGGGAATGCTTTTAACAGTTTGGGGCTGGGACTTGTTAAAGTCAAAGGAAGAGCTCTGCTGATCATGCAGGGGACCTCCAAGGTCAGCGGGGGTCCACCCAGTGCCGGCTGGATGCTGGCGAGACTCGAGCACAAAGCAACCATCCCCTGAGCCAGGCCTGTGTGTAGGGATCCGACATGGCTTCGCCCAAATTATGCAGGGAAATTGGGGGCTTGTTCTTCTCCTGGATGTGCCCTTCCAGGGTGAGAAACAGCTCACAATCAGCTGGGCAGGGCAGAAAAGAAAATAACAGCCTGCTCTGAGTTTACATAATAGTTTACATAATAGCTGGAATCTCACCTGAAGTGTGAGCTTCCAGGAGAAGCAAAGCACACGTCTCAGTCCTTTTGGCACTTGACTTTTCTAAAATTAACAAAAATAGCTCTTAGCCAGAACTTTCCCAGCTTGATCAAGGTGGCTTTGAACCAGCAGTTTCCAGACTCCTTCAATGCTGTGCGGTGGCAGGGAGCAGCATAGTGACTAAGACCCTGGATGTTGGAGCCACACCTCTGGGCTCAGGCCCCAGCTCTGCCGCAGTGTGTTAGCTGGGGACTCAGGCAAGTGGCTTAACTTCCCTGAGTCTTGGTTTTACGAGGGTTCAGGAAGTTATCACAAACGAATTGCTTAGAGCAGGGCCTGGCATATGAGCAGTCCTGTGTAAAACAGCAATTGCTCCTACTGTGGTCGGCACCACTGTCTCTGGTCCCCCAGTTTCTAGGCACTCTACTTCATTGCTCATTCACTTGCAAACTCCAGTTTCCCCACATGTAAAGGAAGGATTAAGTGATCCTGATGTCCCTTTATCTCTAATAGGCTGCAGTGAGTACATAGCACGTGCAGGTGTTCCTTTTATTTAACAGAGACTCACTGACCGTTTCCCCACATGTAAAGGAAGGATTAAGTGATCCTGATGTCCCTTTATCTCTAACAGGCTGCAGTGAGTACATAGCACGTGCAGGTGTTCCTTTTATTTAACAGAGACTCACTGACCTCTTGCTGTGCACTGGGCTTGTGGAGGACACTGGGAGAACGACCAGGCCCATCCCACAGAGGCTGAAGTTTCTATGGAAAAACTTGCTGTCGTGATAAATTCATCTGTCAGTTTGACTGACGTTGTTCCACCTACTTCATGAAACAGGGTATTGTTGTGTCTTTATATAGATGAGGAGACAGAAGTTCCATGGATGTAAACCCCTTGTCCCAGACCACAGTCATTCAGTAGCCAAGCCAGGACCAAACAGGGTCTTTTGATACCCCAGACCCAGGCTTTCAAATTATTCCCCAGGAATGAATCTAGAGCAAAGTGTTAGTGTTAGGACTCCTTTTTAAGAATGGATTTTGGTTTTCTTTCTTTAAATTAACATTAAATATGATATGATTTAAGTGTTTTGGGATATAAAGAAAAGATTTCCATTTAAGGGGCCTTCATGTCCTTTGTGCTTCATAGACTCTGGTACTTAATTTTTTCTGAAATGTCCTCTTGGCTCTGTTACCATTCCCTTGTCCCAGTTCAGGTGGGCTGGATACAGCGGCATGGCCGAGGCAGGAGGAAGCCCTCAGGGGTGGGGCCAGCGGCCCCTCCCGGCTTCTGTGGTCGCACTTGGTACTATAGAGGAAGCCATCTATTCTAATGTGTCTTACACAGGGCTCAGAGCTAAATGTTTTGATTGAAAGGAATTCTGGCACCATCCTGGACTGCAGCAACCAAAACATTTCAGAAGGAAATGAATGTTTTTGCAGGTAGAGTAAGTTGTGGATCCTAGGGGTGCTTAAACACTTCATCATCAGTTAAGTGCAGTGTTTACATGGGACCAGTTCAGTCTTCCGAGCGCAGCCCTGCCGGGGCTCCCCTTTGGTGTGCATTCCCACATCGCCAGTGGATTCCAGCCCCAGCGAGTTGGGGAGCAAACATAGGAAACTGGGCCAGCGGAAAACTGGTGTGTTGGGCTTGGCTGGCAGAACTTATAATGCAGAAACAGTAGAGTCTATAGATCTAGTAAAGGCCAAAACCAAAACCAATCCGTTGGGTGTCAGCAGTATCACTGATTCTAGAAGGTGAGGGTCATTCAGTGACCTCCTTCTCCAAGTTAGCAGCCATGCTGGGGCTTTGTATGGTCATTTTATTTCTGTCTCATGACAGCACAGTCCTTAGAGGAAGGCTTATTGTCATCATTTTACAGGTAAGGAAGCAGACTCAGAGGAGCTAGTAATTTACACAAGGTCACACAGTTAGAAAATTACCAAGCTGGAATGTGAACCTAAGTTTGTTCTACTCCAAAGTCTGCTCCTTTCCCCCTACATCAACCTACCCTTCCTTCATCGGCATTACATGAAATAGGATATTATGAAGGTCCTTTGTGAAGTGTTTGCAGACAAATGTTATTAGCTCAGGGCTCTGGGGCACCATACAAGGCCACTTTTTAAAGCCTAAACAAACCATAATATTGGAAAATGCACCTCTCTACCAGGTAAATCTGTCAGATGAACCCACGTAATGGAATCCAGCCAACTTTGCTCTCTTGGTGGTGACAGAAACAGAGGTGGCGTAAGAAAGAGAAGTAGGAAGCAAAATGCAAAGAGCAGCCCAGACCCCAAGTACTGGTCTCTGGCTGGCCCTGGGTGCACCCTCCTGTTGCGATTAGACTCCTTCACGCAGGGTCTCGCTTGCGCTGCTCCTTCATATGTAACGCGAAAACGGCTGCAGGACGAGAGAGATCGTGATCTTGCTGTTCTCAGCAGGAGGACTCAGTAGACAGCAGCTCAGGGTATCTCACGCAAGCAGATTGGCAGTGAGGGGAGACAATTGGGTTCAAAGGGACAAGATTTGCTGGAATATGACAATAGTAACTTCTGTTTTCATGCTTATTCTCAGGGTATCTCACGCAAGCAGATTGGCAGTGAGGGGAGACAAGTGGGTTCAAAGGGACAAGATTTGCTGGAATATGACAATAGTAACTTCTGTTTTCATGCTTATTTTTCCCTTTAGAAACACACTGCACCATCATCTTAAGCCCTTCCACTTTTCACAGCATTTTTGACTCTGGTTGGCCTTCTCACGTACCCTCTCCATTGCTGAGCCTCCAGGGCTCCCGTGAGGGATGTAGGACATCCTCTCAGTCATAGAAACCTGGAGCCATGGAAATTTCCATGTTGGCACACAATTGAGGGCCATCACCCTAGCAATGGTGCCACAAGGGCCCGTTGTCATGTCCCCCTGTCTGAGCTGGGGTTCTGACCCTGAGCCCCATCAGATTCACCAAGGGAGTCCCCAGCCAGGCCCTATCTCAGACCCCCAGAATCCCAGTTTCCAGGGTAAAGCCCAGAATCATACATTTTCTAAAGCTTGTCCAAGTGATTCTGATACAGCTGAGTGGCGTTGGACAGCCCTGAGAGAGCCAGTGGTCCCAGCCCTCTTTAGATCCACCTGTTTGTCAGCATGTACTCTGTGCCTCAGGTCATGAGCTTAGGGGCATCGTAACTGGTTGGCACCCACCTCCTGGAGGGTTTCAAAGCTGCCCCTTCCTCTGCTCATTCACTCTGCTGTGCAGATTTCCTTTCTGGATCGTGCTGTGTCTCTCCCAGCCTTCATCCTTTGGACCAGGAGGCCCCAGCTTTATCACCCGGGCTCAGGCCCATTCCCCCACCTCATCTGCTCCATCATTCCCCGGGCCGTCTCTTATTTTCTTTCTAGTTCTCTGATATGTCCTTGTGATGGGGCCCCAGGAGTGCCCACCGTGTCTGAGATGGGAGTGAGCCATAGTGGGGCTAAAGGGGAGGATGATCTTTTCTGTCCTATTTCCAAGGTCTTACTGCTTTGGGGTATGTAGCGCCTCTCATTTAGTTTCTGCGAGACGGCAATGATTTTTTGCTATGTTATGAATGAGGAATTTGTGGCCAGGCCAGACTGGGTCACAGGTGTGAGCAGACGACCTTCTGAGGACTGCCTACTGCCAGGTCCCCACCCAGGTCCAGGGTCAGCACTGAGAGCTGACATTTTTATAGAGGTCATTTGAACCCCTGGTCCCTGACACATTAACATTTATGTGCCCATCGTAAAGCCCATATCACTTTGGCTTGTTTTACGGACTATTTCTTAAGAACCCTTTAAGCAGTGTTTGTGGCTGGTATCCCTCGGTGTGAAAGGTTGATAAAATGAGTTAAATTAGATGATGTGGTCCTATCTATACCCACCATCAGACTAATGTCCCTGCATATCTTGCATCCCATCCCCTCCCTACACAGAGCCTCCGTGGCTCCTGAAGGAGTTTTCACCATCAGGTACCAACATGCTCACTCCTTTACATGACAACTTCTTGGTGCTGGTCACTCCTCACGCCTTGCTCCTTCTGTCCTCTGTGCCCACCTGTGGCGTCCCTTGCCCTCCCCCAGGCACCCACCCTGAAACAGAGACCCCTCTTCCGTCTAGAAGACCCTGCCAGCCCTTCCAAGCCATACCCAGCTCTCCCTTCTCATGGCCCACCTCTACGCAGCCCTCTCCTGATCCTCTCTCAGGCTCTAACTTCCTGGCACTACACAGAGGGCTCATCTCAGGCTCCCGGGGCTCCTGATATTGGGCCCGGCCAGCCCTGTCCAGCATGGTGCTTTTCAAACTCGCTATGGGGAAGGACAGATTTGTTTTGTTTTTTTCAATTTCCAACCTGTTGCAGACTGATAGTTTTATAAAAGGCAATAAAAATGTCACTGAAATGTCAAATTGCTATAAAAGTTACTAAACACTTACTCTCAATTTCTGTACTTGCCTTGCTGTGCACCAGCAACAGTTTGTGGATTGGCACCAGTCTGTGGAGCACACGTTGAACAGAACTGTCTGGACAGCCTGTGCCTTGTAAACAGGCCAGTGGGCGCTGCTCACGGGGGCCCCAGGGCCACGTGCACATCTGCCAGAGGTCAGGAGAGATGAAAAACCAACTTTACAATACCGTGCAAATGAGAGAAACAAAGGAGTCACTTCTTTGCACACATTTTACTCTTAAATGGCAAAAGCCTTAATTTCCCAAGAGGGAGATGTGAAAAATGATTTCGCTGGGTGACTGGCAGTCCCCAAATATGAAAACCCCGTGACAAGCACATCGTGCATGGAATGGCCCAGCCATGCCTGCCAACTAGGCAGCTGCTACCCTTCCCACCCCAGCACGGACAAGATCAAGACATGAAGCAGAGCACTTCAGAGGGGGACAATGGCGAGTATGGTGGCATCTGCACTTCACTGTGAGCCGCCCCCCATCCCCATCCCCATCATCATGCCCAGAAGTGCATCTGCCCCGCAGAAAAGTTTCCAGAATCGTTCAGAGGCCATGATTACTTTTTTTTCCTTTTCTTTTTACTTTTTTGGGGGTGGGGGTGCTGGCTGCCCAGAACGGTGATTCAATCCTGGACCTTGATGTCATCAGCCCCGTGCTCTAACCAACTGAGCCAACTAGCCAGACCTTTGTGATTACTTTTTTTTCCTTTTCTTTTTACTTTTTTGGGGGTGGGGGTGCTGGCTGCCCAGAACGGTGATTCAATCCTGGACCTTGATGTCATCAGCACCGTGCTCTAACCAACTGAGCCAACTAGCCAGACCTTTGTGATTACTTTTTTTTCCTTTTCTTTTTACTTTTTTGGGGGTGGGGGTGCTGGCTGCCCAGACGGTGATTCAATCCTGGACCTTGATGTCATCAGCACCGTGCTCTTACCAACTGAGCCAACTAGCCAGACCTTTGTGATTACTTTTTTTTTTTTTGTCTTTTATCTTTTTCCGTGTCCGGCAACGGATCGCAACCCTCAGTGTTGCCCCCGTACCGGACCGGGGACCAGCAACGGGACCGCAACCCTCGGCGCTGCTCCCGCGCCTCGCTCAGCCAGTGAGCGGGAACCGGTCTGTATGTGGGATCCGAACCCTCGGTCGGGAGCGCCGCCACACTTCCCAAGCGGCGCACTTATCCAGTGCGCCACCGGGCCGGCCCCTTGTGATTACTTTTAACACTTGAAAAAAGTCCTGCTTGAGTTGTTGAGAAGTAGAATTGCAGATTTGGCTTTTTTTTTTTAATACATTTTCTCTGTTTTGCATATTTTTCACAATGAGCATTTTGGGGGTAGGTTTTTTTAAAATTAATTATCATAAAATTTTCTAAGCAAAAGAGCCCTAAATATTCATCTTCCATGGCTTTTAACTCTCCTTTGAAAACGCTAGCTCTGAGTATCAGTTCATCAAATAATGTCTCAGCTTCTGGGTAACTTAATCTCGAATCCAGAGGACACTGACTCCCACCTCGTGGTAGGACGTCTGGGTCTTCTGGGTGCCCTCCTTCAGGCCACCCGGTTGCTGCTCCCTGGCAGGCACCTCCCCCCCGCCCCCAATCCTCAGCAGGCCCTCCTCACCTCCTTCAAAACTTTGCTCACATGTCACTGTCTCAGCAAGACTTCTGACCATCTTATTAAACACACCCCACCTGTCCCAGCTATGAATCCCATGCCCTTTCCTGCTTTAGTGTTTCTGTTACTTGTCACCACCAGTCGTCCCCACTAGACTGTAAACCCTGTGATGACAGGCTTTTTGTCCCTTTGTTCACTGCTATGTGCCTAGGATGTTGTGGATACTCAGTGATGTTTCTCCAGTGAACAGACTCAGGTGGCTGCTAACCATGTAGACAGAAGGTGGCGTGGGGAGGGCAGACAGCAGGTTGAGTCCAAGCAGAGGCAGGACATGACATCTTCCCCTATCCCCCATCTGCATGCTGCAGTCTATATGGTTTCTATCTCAGTTGCCAGCACCCACCCCGGAGCCAGTCCAGTTTTGTCATTTCTTTTCTGTTTCCCAGGAGCAGGCCATAGAAGTGCTGACCCGTTCCAGCCTGGAAGTTGAGTTGGCCGCCAAGGAGCGGGAGATCGCCCAGCTAGTAGAGGACGTGCAGAGACTCCAGGCCAGCCTCACCAAGCTGCGTGAGAACTCAGCCAGTCAAATCTCCCAGCTCGAGCAGCAGCTGAGTGCCAAGAACAGCACGCTCAAGGTGAGGGCAGCGGGGCGGGCCAGGCACGTGCACACACACGCACACATGTGCACGAACACATGCACTCACACTTGCCTTCCTGGAACTGCTAGCAAGTATGGCAGCCTCAAATCTCTGGAGGGTAGTTTGATGCAGAGCCCCAGAGCCCAAGGCAGGGACACTGCTTTTGACACCCACTCTCAGCTCTTGAGTGGATAGCATTTCCCTCCTGACAGTCCATTCCTCACGGGCAGCACTTGGTAGAAATGCCAGTCCACTAGTGTCTGCTCATGCACTGCTTCACCTGAGAACACCTAGGGCTGAGCAACTGTGCTCCACCTGGAGAGTCTGTGCTGTCCTGCATGAGGCTTGGAGTGTCAGTCAAAGGCAGAGGCTGTCTGTACAGATGTGACTTTGTCCAGCTCTGCTGGGCTTCCCTGGTTTTCTGAGGTTGCTCCCAGCAGGAGAACCCAGCACACTAAAACGCTGGCTCTTCCCATGCCTGAACTAAATGAAAGCCCAGAGGTCGTGTCTGGGCTCCTAAGCTTAGGGACAGTCCTTTGTCTGGGCCGCTATTCTCTCCAGACTGTGCCACACCCCAGTGGCCTAAAGATTGGCATTGCCTCAGCACGGGGAGCCCCCACATCCAGTCTCTTCCCTCCCAGATGTTCTCATTAGGCAGCCTAGCAGAAGCTGAGTTTTCTTGGGCTTTCTCACAAATTTGTGTCCCAAATGCAGAGCCCAGAACCTTTTTCATATATTAAATAGTAAGAAGTATACTTTAAGGTGTTTAAGTGGTGTTTCAGTCCACTGAAGCGAGCGTAATTTGAAGACAGTCCTGGAATCTGGATGCATAGGTGTCAGAGCCAGGAGGTGTCTCACTGACACAGGACCAGCAACAGATGTCCCTGCTCCAGCCAGAGGCTCTCCTGCTCTGTCCGTTCCGGCCCCTGCCCTTGTAGAGTGCACAGACAAGTGAGCGGCCACTGGAAGGTCTGTTCATCGCATACTAAGTAAAGTGCATCAATGTTAGTTGTAAAAATGTGAAGAAAATTTTTTTTTATATAAAGTAGTTTTAGAAATGTAGTTAGACTCATTTTGTTTTAAAATAAAATCGAAATTTTCTTCTTGACATATGACCAAGTTTAGCCCAGAACTAAATTTCCAGCAAGTCTGTTGCTGACGCTGGTGGCACCCACAGCTCTCCCTTGCTAGGTGCTTCTTTGCCTCTTTGGGGTGGATTTCATCCTCCTTTTGAGAAAGTGCTGGGTGCCCAGGTCCCTCTGAGGAAATGGCCTTGCTGACTTTGGGGAGGTGGTGGAAACCTGGTCACATCCGTTGTCAACCGTGGCGTTTATTTGTCCAGTGTTTCTTCCTCTCTTCTCTCATCAGCTTGCCCGTTGAGTACCAGCACTCCTTTTCTATTTCTAGATTAAATCTAATTTTTTCCTGTTATAAGCCTTTTCTGACCCTAGTGATGGCATTATTATTAGATAATTTGCCTTTCTCTCCTTCGTTACAGTTAAAGGGCATGGCTCATACATTCTGCATATGGCTGCATGAGAGGGAGGCTGCAGACCTTACATTTTTTATTATAAAGCAATTTCTTCCAAATCAGTTAAGGTTTTAATGTTTGCCTTCACAAAAAATGAAACACAGTTTCACAAATTAATGTTCTTTATCCGTATCTTGGGGGAATTCTTTAATACTGTGCAGTTAATGAAACAATTCGGCGATATTTCTTCCAAAATTATTGCTCCCTTATCTTTATCTGGTCTAATAATCAAAACATATCCTCTAGTAACAAGACTTCTCTGATTTTAATTATCTTAACCCCTTATCGCCAGGAGTAAAGATTTCTCCGATGTCAAACCCCCACACAAAAGGAATTAGACTTCCCCAAACAAGCGCATCTACCTCCTTCACCCCAAAGGGGTGAGGTTAATTGAATGAGATATCTTCTCAGGGCTTTTTTTTCCCTCATGTTTATAATTTATAGTCTCAAATCTAAACGAAGGAGGGGTACAATTATTAGGAAAATATTTTATGAACGAGACCTATTTGGTTGGCAGCCTGATGCTTTTGTGACAGGGAACTCTGACCCCGCAGTTGGGGCTACTCACAAGCAACAGGAAGCAAGCAAAGACTCCTTAACTTACCCTCAGGCGTTCTCTTTCTTCCTCCCCCCTGTCCCCTTCCCTTCCTGTCCCCTCTCTCATTTTTTTCCTTCTTGGGCCATGTTTTTCAGCTGCCATGGCAAGGGCTTGCATTGGGTTGCCATTTGGGAAAGGATGCTACAGCTTCAGCCTTTTGGAGTTGTGGGTGGTTTTGCCATGAGCATTTGACAGTGGGTCCTTGATCTTTAAGACAAATGCCAGTGTGTTTGGTGACAGTCACTTGGGGAGAGGGTGTCTCCATAGACAGAATCTTTAATCTTGAGATCATCAGGTTTTTTCCACCAGTACACTCTGGTGGTACTCTCCATAATTGGGTATATTGGGGGACGAATTAATTGGCTTGCTTTCTCTAGCTCATGGAAACTCTCCACCTTTTTGCCATTAAGATTTCTTCCCCTCACTTAGACATTGATTTGTCATTCCATGAGGCTACCCAACAGTTACATGTATACCAGTCTTTCTTGCAAAAAATCCCTATCCACATACCATGGTGTATCTTCTAACCTTTAAATAGACATTGGAACAGACTCACACGCGGGAGATGTTTCTTTCCTGCCTAATCTGACAAGTGCTCAAGCACAGTGCCACTTGTAAAGGATAATTCTGTACTCGTAATTAATGAAATAACCCGAACACCATGACAAGGCTGCTATTTTTGATAACTCTCTATTCTGTGGTCTTCTGTTGGAACACTTTAATATAGAGCAGTATAATTAGGCAGTCACCTGCATTATGCTCACTGTAGCACAGAAAATAATTCTACCAATAACTTCAATTTAAAGTTGGTGTTTATAAGAAAGGCTAGCTAACAGAATGCCAATCTCCCTTAGGGAGAAATTATATTTTCTAAAAATGCTTTAAAAATCAGCAGTTCCCACTAGGTGGGTAGGCAAGATTGTTAAAATCACCTAGGGGTCTTTTTCCAAACTGCACACGCTTCCACAGGCTTCCCTCACCCCCTGAGGTTCTCCCAGCTCCCATTGAGCCACAGTGGGAGTGCACTGTATCCCGACCACCACTTCGTGAGGCTCATTCAGTGCCTTTAACTCTGGAGCTCATTCAGCGTGCCTCCAGACGCTGCCCCTTGGGTGATGTGAGTTCCCTTATCTGGCAGCATCCCTGCCCGTCTGCCCTGTGCTGAGGCTGCCCTTCCTGAGGTTTAACTTGCATTTATAGTCCTCCCCATTTATGAAGCCCTAATATCCGTGTCCCACTGGAGGCTCACTGTGTGAGTAGGCAGGATGATGGTCATTGTCCACTAGAGGAGGTCCGGCTCAGGGTTGTCTAGCCTGTGGCTCTAGAGGGAGGCTCAGTCCTTGTCAGACACTGTGGCCCGTGCGTGCCTCTCCACAGCAGCCTGCCACCATTGTGAGCAGTAGGCAGGTGGGGTGGGGACACTCGCCCCTAGAATAGCATGAACTGAGCAAGCTCTGATATCAGACATCCTGGATAATAGAGCTCAGGGGATGAGGGTCTGTGGCATCATCCCAGCTGGGTCTTCAAGGCACCGTGAACAGACTGGAGGAGAGGAAGGAACGAGGAGGAGGACGAATGTGGCCCCAGCCCTAGCAGCAGAGGCAGATCTTCCTGGCAGCCATGGCGAGCCCAGGGGAGGAGCACTCTGGCAGGTAATCCCAGGGCAGCCAGCAGGTTCTTTGCTGGAGGCCTCGAGTGCCATCTCAGGATTGAGGTGGCACCTGACTGGCAGAAGGAGGTTATAAATGGGTTCCTGTAAAACCACTGTGAACCAGTTGGCATTACCAGGAACACTTCAGGAGAGCTAATTATGTATGGGAATCTATGGTGAATCCTCTTGGAAAGACATACTTGCCTCTAATCACTCAGTGAATAAATCCAGATTATTTCACCTGCAGACAGCCCCCAGTTATGGCACCCTTTGCTGACCAGGGCATGCACTGTTCATGTAGCCTGAGCATTGAGCCTGGTCTCTCCTGGTCTGTGATGATACTGTCCTATGAGGAGTTGGCTACTGTCTACCCTGTGCCTAGGTCACACCTGGGTCATAGACACTGGAAATTGGAGGCAAGCTGTGGCATATTTGCCTTTCAGGGGTTTCTTCTTTTCTCTCCTGAGCCACATAACTTCCTCAGCCCTGCCACTCATTCCACTCTAGCTTACAGTCTGTTTGGGTGCCAGAACCCCAAATTTGGGGGGAAAGAGCAAGCCCCCTATCATAAACCTTATTGTGCCCCCACATCTGGCCTTGGGGCGTGTCTTTCTTTTCTCTGCATTCTCAGCATCCCTACAAGGCATGCCTGGCTCCCACCCCAGTGGTTTGAAAGGTTCCAGGAAGATTCAGGCTTATTCATGGTCCAGGCTTCTCCCCCAGACCTAGCATCAGGAGATCCTAAATTTACATGACTGCTATCTCTCCCCCCAGGAACCATATAGACTAGATGTTCTCATCTGGGGAGATTTGCTGTTCAGTAGAAAAGGCGGTGCACCTGCTGCCCAGGCCTGGATCCCAGAGATGTGGTGTCACCTATGGGGCTGGCCTCAGGGCCCTGCTCTGGACCCAGGGGCCAAGTGAGGGCAAAGGGTCCCACACTGACACCCTAACCTGAGACAGTACTGCTGAGGGCCTGGCTGTGCTCATCTGCATCACAGCCGCACTCTGCCCCTATGGCTGGTGCTTTGTGGCAAAGAGGCACTGCCACCTTGACCGCTAGCCATGCAGCCCAGAAGACACTTCCTTCCTGTGGTTCTTTGTGTGAGTCTGACATGCCAAAGGTCCCTTTGCTGGTAGCCCTAGAGCACCAAGCATGGCTGGTGCTTTGTAGCAAAGAGGCACTGCCACCTTGACCGCTAGCCATGCAGCCCAGAAGACGCTTCCTTCCTATGGTTCTTTGTGTGAGTCTGACATGCCAAAGGTCCCTTTGCTGGTAGCCCTAGAGCACCAAGGATCGTATTTTGAAACTTGACTAAGATAGATGTTTTTTTATCATTTGAGTGCCTGATTTGCTGCATGCCAAATTAATTGTTTTTATTATTTAAGTCTTAGCCGGGATTTTAAGAATTTCAGATAGATAATTCTTCTCGCAATTCAGGAAGCAATTGATGATCACCTACTAGGCTCTGGAACCATGCGTGTATTCTCCACCTCTCCCATTAAAACACCATGTTTCAGCAGCATTTGGCAGCTTACACCAGCTCATGCTGTGTTTCCTCACCATAGTCCTTTGAAAACCCATATTGGTTCTGAGTCTCCCCATTTTACAGACAAGGAACATGAGGCCCGGACAGGCTAAGCCAGCCAGCCAAGGTCACACCAGCCAGGGCAGGACTGGGCTGGCAGCCAGGCCTCTGAGACTTGACCTTTTCTCTCCTCTCCATGTAAAACCCGCATGTGTTCCATAAACAAGTTCATTTTTCGGAAAGGTAACACCGTTCCTAGAATCTGCTTTCATGGCCTGGGACATGGGGCTGCCTGTGTGCTCCTGCTCTGTGGGTCCTTCTCCGTGGATCTGCCACAGAGTAGTGGGGACCCTGGGAGATGACACACTGGTATTAAGACCTTCAGAGACAGAGCCACAGAGTCCTCAGATACAATTCAGTCATGTTCAGTGCCACCTACCAGGAATGTGGAAATAATACTAACAAATGCAATAGCAATAATAACCACCATTTCTGGAGTGCTTTCCCAAGCGCCCAGCACAGGGCTCATTACACTTAATATGCAGTATTTCATTTAATCCTCATAAAAGCAGTGTAACTGATATACCATTGTCCTCATTTTATAGATGAAGAAACTGAGGCTTAGAGAGTTTAAGTCTCATCCAGAGTCACCCTAGAAGTACATGGCAGAGGCAGGATCTGTCAGACTCCAGAGCCCAGGCTTGCGGAGCATCCCGGCTTGGCCTCTGCTCACCAGCATCTCAATCCCTCTCAGGAACTACTGCGGGCTAGCCTAAGCTCGGAAAGGGTCTGCTTTGCAGAACCCAGTGATTTTTTTTTCTTTGGGCAGACAGATTACATCTGCAGAAGTGTTGGGATAATTAAATCAGAGAGTGTTTAAGGTGCTCATAGTGAGCACAGAATCTAGCACACCACGCAGGGAGCAGTAGGAGACCTGAGAAAGGAGTATGTCCTCAGAGAGAATGACAGACGAGAGCACTCGTCGCACTTTCCAGATTGAGACTCTCTGAAACTGGACTTCCCGGGAACTCAACAAGGGGTTTCTGATCAAGAACCGAGCAGAGACCGTGTGGTCTTTTTTTTACCACAATGGGCATTTTCAGCATTGGAAGCCAGTGTGGGAGCCCCACATTCACAGGAAGGGCAGAAACGCATGCGTGGACTTGCCGTCCTTCCCGCAACTGCAGATGTGAGATGTGGTGCTCACAGCAGGGTCATTTGTGAAGAGACTTCAGTGGGGCCAGGTTAAATGTGCCCTGAGGCACCCAGCAAGCTTTGGAGGGCAGCCTCCCCCAGGCTTCTGTCCATTTGTCTGCCCAAGACTAGAAATGTCATTGGAGGTTTACAAAAGGGGTCTCAGGTACTTCTTGATTAAACTGTCCCCAGGTAGATGGCAGGAATTTCAATGGAAGCTGTCCAGCTCTCCATAAAAACTGTCATATCCTACTAAAATGTACAGATTCCAGTCCTAAAACCTTCTGATCAGGGCCATTCACAGGTCTTCAGAGAAGACCTGTAGCCATGCCTCTTGGGAGACTGCAGTGGGACTTAGCAGTGATGAGAGTCCCAGTGTCAAGGGCCAGAGGTGCCAGGTCTGTCCTGGGTTCTGGCTTTGTGCAGTTCTTTTGAGGTAATTACTGTCAGTCCCATTTTACAGATGAGAAGAGTATGAACTTGCCCAAAGGCACCCAGCTTGTAAGTGACAGATTTGGACTTGAGGTCCAGGTCCCTGGCCTTCTTGACCTGTGCCAACCCAGGCTCTGAAGTCCTCCTTCTTCCCGGCTTTCTCCCATTCCCTGGGTATCTTCAGTGAGCTCCATGTCTGCAACATGTCTTGCACCTCAGCAACACCGCAGAGAATCTTTTGCGGGAGAGGGCTGGCACGTTAGGTCTTCTGCTCTTTGACTATAGGGAAGAGAATGAAATAATCACTTCTTTATGAGCACCTTCTGAGAATCTTTTGTAGGAAAATGAATGCCTGCTTGATTATGATAGAGAAGACCATCATGATGCATAAAGCTGGCAAGAGGTCTTAAAAAGGAACTAGGGCAGAGCAGTTTTGCACAGTGGAAGATGCACACACAAGAACCTGCCAGCAAAGGCAACAGAAAAAGATGGGCTAAATGAATTCCATTTACAGAACGCCCGGGTCCTTGAAACAGCAGGCAGGTTGGGATTCAGATGGGCATTGAGGCTGATGGGCCAGACGGGCATCTCTTCCAAGCTCTAGAATGTTCTCAGTCAGCTTTCAGCTGTGGTCTTGGTCGTGGCTGGTCAAACAGAACTTAAAAAGGCACCTGGAAAGCCTGTAGGTGGGAAGGTGCTAACAGTTCAGGAAACGGAGTTTGTCCAGTCGCAGCTTGGGGTCACGCTGAGTTGTCAGGACCTTCCCCTAGGTCTTGGTGTTTGATGTGGAGCTGCCTCATTTTCCCCAAGGAGCTCTATTTGGGGGAGGTCAAAAGTAAACTGGCCCAAGAACACCTTTATAGAGGGGAGCACCCTCTACTAACCACCAGTGGCTCTTCCTGCAGAGCCATGGGCAGAAACAGCCACATAAATGCCCCTGATCTCAGAGACTTTTCTGGAGCACATCAGAGCACCATCATACCTTGGAAATGTGCTGTCATGCCCCCGGGCCCCTGGGCCTTGTGGGAGTACTGTGTGGGCCAAGGACTCGCCTGTGCCTTGCCTCCCTGTTGGGGAGCAGTATCTCGGGCAGAGCCCTTCCCGCAGGACTCGGACAGGTTGTCCGTCAGGGAAGCCACCAACCACCTGCTGAACGGGCCCCCACTCCTGAAATTCCAACATCCTAGGGGTTTGGGAGTGCACAGGCTTTTTTCCTGATGCCTATTTGATGCCACTGCCCAACAACAAAGAGCTTAAGTCTCTTGTTAGCAGGGGTCTCACCAGCAGTGTTGGCACCAGCTGCAGCTGGCTAGCCTGACACATGCTGTGAGAAACCTCATGCTGCTCTCCACACGCTGGGAGAGCCTGTCTCCTTCTGTTTGCTGGTTTGTGGTATTTTGTACCAAGTGGACTTTTCTTCATCTGTTTTTCACTTATGTAAAGCTGTGCCCTTCTGCTTTCATTAAGTTTTACATTACAGCCTTATTTTGCTGTGCGTGTATACACACACGCATGTGCACATGTGCACGCCAGACCAGACCTGAAGAGTGGGGGTCAGAAGGTGACCCCAACACTGCCGGCTTCCATTTCTACAGGTCTGCTTCGCCTCACAGACGGCAGGATGTTTCACAGGGAATGGAGTCAGTGAAGACCGTCAGCCTGTTTTCAGATATGGCCACTAATGAAATTCCTCTCTGTTTTCAGCAACTGGAAGAAAAACTCAAAGGCCAGGCTGACTATGAGGAGGTGAAGAAAGAGCTGAAGTGAGTACGGAGATGCCTGTGGCCCTCACAGGTGGGGCTCATTAGGGCCCCACTGACAAGGGTCGTGCCAGGAGCGGGCCAGCCGGCAACGTGCACCCAGTCTTGGCAGATGCACGAGAATTCAACCTGGGCTCTGTGCTGCATGGCGTCCAGTCTCAGGCATTTGCATTTGGGCCCATCTCTGAATTCTTCAGACTTTTTATGAAACTTGTGCATTTAAAGCATTCCAATATGCACAGAATCGGGAAATACTGCCTTTACAGAAACTATAATACATGAGCTCATATTTCAGCTGTAGACTCCCCACACAGAGACAGAGCAGATGATGGGAACATTTCCCCATTGAAAGCATACACGTGGCCTCCCATGGCTCTGGCCTACCTCCTTCTCCCAGCCTCCACTCCCCGTCCATGAGGCCGCAGATAAGAGCTTGCCATCCCTCAGCGCCAAGGATTAGAAGCTCCCTTCTCGGGCTCTGCCTCCCAGCCTCGTCCGTCCCTGCTCCCTGAGCCTGTGCTTGGCCCTCCAGAGCTCCCAGGCCCTAGTCCCTACCTGTTCCCCCAAGTACATTGTGCTCTAGGCCCACTGGCTTCTTCCCACAGCCCAGAGCCCACAGTCGGCCCTCCACGGTGCATGTGTGCCCGCTTGGCCTTCTGCCTCGCCATGTGCTCCCACTTGTGGCTTCCCCCTCCATTCCCAGGCTATCAAATGCTGCAAAGGAAAGTCGCTGCAGCATACTGACCAGCCCCTGCATGTCCACTGCTGCTTGGCCAGTTTGGTGTTTCCTGGGGGCTTATCCTTGCCCTCATCACTGCCCTCCGCCACAGCAGTCCCCCAACTCTCTCTGCAGATGCCCTAATTCTCTGCTGTGTGGAGGGACAGACTCCTGCAGCTTCCCCTTTGCCTAGACTCCCTCCTGATGGTCTTGGGTTCCTGCTCCCTCCTGCTGATATTTTCCATTTTTCTTTTTAAGACAAGCCTACCCCCACTCACCATGCTGTTCTTTGTATTCTTAATTCCATTCCCCTGGGCCTGCCACAGAAGCTCATTGGACACCGCTTTGACCTTCTTGCTGCCACATCCAGTTCTGTCTGTCATGGACTCATCCAGCCTCCCTAGCAAGGGGACTCCACTGCCCCCACCCCCACCCCATCCCCTCTCTGGTGCAGACAGCCCCTGCAGGTTCTCCTTGGACAGACCTCTAAGCCTCTGTCTAGTCCCAGCCTTGACAAGCTCTGCATTCTCCCTCACTCCATTTCCAACTTAGGGAGCTACATTTATACCTGGTTGACGACCTATGCTTCCCTCCTCCCAGATGTCCTTCCTTTCCCTCTTCTTCCCTGCTTAAAAAAAAGAAAGAAAAGAAAGATCGGGCCTTCTCATTTTGAGCCAGAGAAGCTCTGTTGTGACGGCCTTCGCCCAAGGCCCCTCCTGCCCGCCTTGGGAGTTGGTCCTGTGTGTCCTTCTTCCTCCCCTCATTGCCTTGGACGCAAGGCCTGTGGGCTCCGGCCTGCAGCACGGACCTGTCCATTCCTTCCCAGCCACACACTGGCCCTCGCCCTTCCCCTTGTCACCCACATTCCCACCTGCCTTCTCTGTTACATTCGTACCCTATGGCCCCCACGCCACATAACACGTCTGAAAGTTCCATTCAGGTAGCTTTCTGCTTACGTGTGTTCCTGGCTTTTCACTTCCTGGTGAACTAAGTGCCCTCTTGGACACATGCCACGTCCCTCTTCTGTCTCCACATCTTCCGCTCTGCCCCCAACAGGCTGTGCTCTCTTCCCCTTCTCACTTCCTCACCCACCCACCACAGTGGTCTGTAAAACATCCCACTCCTTCAAGGCCCTTCTCAAATGCTTGCTCCTCATGAAACTGAGACCCTGTCTCCAGCCCAATGAGATCCTCCAGCCAAGGATCCCCAGCATGCTCTCTCTTTCAACAGACCATTTGGATTTTTGTCTATTACCTGAGTGGCCTGGGAGTTTCATGGGGTGAGGATCAGGAGTGTTTCTGATTCTCCACAGTGCCAGGCAGATAACAGGTCATTGGTAAATATTTGTAGAGTAAATGAAGAGACACTTGTGTTTTTAGTACAAGCTCACATATTCAGTCTTTCATTACATGATGCTGAAGAAGATACGAACAGGACAGGTATAGGTGCAAACTCGTGAAGCCCACTCAGAAAAGATGGGCCTATGTAGACGGCTTGCACTTCTCTCCTGTCTAACGTGAAGAGTCCAGAGTTCTGTTACTATGTCAGCAGCGCATTATGAAGTTACGTGGATTACCCATGATAGCTCCTCTTTGTTCCTAGTTTTGTTAATTTACATTTTGGTGCTCCCTACAAAGATACAACCACAGATAAATACAAGAGTCAGTTCGTCAACCAGCAAAGCAGCCTCCCGGGGCACTGGGCCCTTTGCCTGCAATGGCAGCTTTATGCTTCATGGTGTCTTGATGATGCTTCTGCAGAGCTGAAGGATGGGCAGAGGCTCATGGCCACAGAAATGCTGGGAGGGTCCAGTTGACTTGGCGCCTGCGAGTCGTAAACCTCACTGAGCGGGCAGCCCACTCGGTCTTGGTTGCCCTGCTTAGCATTGAAAAGAATGCTTACAGCTCCTTAGGGCACGTACGCTCACTTCCCCTTTTCTCCCTGGTACTCACAGAAAGAAGGGAATATGCACAGCAAAAGGACCGCCAGAGACAGTGTGTCTGGGGGCTGGCCTCGTTCAGCTTCTGGACTTGTTCAGACGGTCCAGAGACTGCAGTGAGGGGGCACAGCCCATTGCAGTGCTGACGGGAGCAGTGGAGAGGCCATCCTTCCCTTGCTCCACCTTTGTCTTTGGCGCTCCTTCCCCATCAGGGGCTGCAGAGGAGGTCTGTTCGTTGGCCCTTAAGCCATCCGAGTGTGGGACGTTGCTCTTTGCCAATGTCCCCTGGTCCCAGTGGGTGCCAGTTACCAAGGGAGCATGTGGGCGTGGCTTGGGGTGATGAGTTCCCTTCTCTCTGGCTTCCTTATTACAACTCCTTCCTTCCCTTTAAGCTTTACAAATACATCCCATTTGCCACAATGTTATGTCTGTGTTAAACTTTAAAATTATACTCTGAACAGACCTGGTGTGATTCCATATGGAATGATTTACATGCTGGGCAAGAAACTTTTGCTAGCCAACTGCTAGTTGGAGTTTAATTCTAGAGACATCGTCAGATTATATTACTGCCAGGGAAGTTGTTAAAGTTGTCAGTTCCTCAGTTCCCGGAGAGCAGGAAATTGTAATGCTAATGCTTATTAGTGTGGCTGTTATCAACGGTGTGAGTGGAGAGTAACCACCCTGTCTTGATCTTTCAGTATTCTGAAGTCCATGGAGTTTGCGCCATCGGAGGGAGCTGGGACACAGGTACATGGCCTCACTGCTTTCAGCGTTAGCACCAGCACCGCTGCTGGTCCCTCAGGCACGCATCCCAGTCTCTGTATTTATATGAGACCCTCAATTTCATTTGATGAGTAATTCTTCAACAACATTTAACCAACTGAAAGCAAATTATCTTTAATCAAAAAGAGGCAAAAAAGAGACAAGTTAGCATTTTCCAATCTGGTAACTCAATTCAAGTGGAATTGTGATGTCACTTGGGCAGGTTACTAAGCGCATGGATTAAAAGCAATTTTAGCCAAAAATGAATTGGCTTAGGAACTTTAACAGTGCACTGCCTCGGTGGAGAAGGCACTGGGGCCAGGAGACAGTGGCCCAGGGTCATCTTGCATCCGATTAAAATTTATGAATCTCACTCCTGACACCCAAAAGGCAGATGACATCTTGTGTCAGGCAAAAAAAAAAAAAAAAGAGTTAACTTTACAGTCACTTTCTGACAGAGGTTTGTGGCTTGGCAGCCAGTTCTTTTGCCAAACAAGGCACAGGTTTAGACCACCTGAGTTTGGGGACAGAATAGAGAATAATTAATTGTCCAGAAGTAATGTAAGTCTTAAGAAGAAGAAAAGTAACTTCCACCAAAGTTAATTCTTTTTAAAAGGAACTTAAATGACTTCAATGCTTGTCTCAGGTATCTTGGGAAATCAGCTTCCTAAAGTAACCCGTTTGAGCATCAGATAGGAAGCTTGTGTGGAAAAGCGGGCAGGCAGAGCCAGGGGGCCAAGCCTGGTGGCCCCTGGGGGCAGGTGGGTGGCTGCGCGTGCAAGCCCCATGGTGAGCCCCACTCTGCCCCATCTAGGACGCAGCCAAGCCTCTGGAGGTGCTGCTGCTGGAGAAGAACCGCTCACTGCAGTCCAAGAACACCGCGCTACGCATCTCCAATAGTGACCTGAGCGGTAGGTTGACCGGGTCTTGCGTGCGGTGCTTGGTTGGCTTCCAGGGGTCAGACAAGAGGCAGGTGAACCGTGAGTCTGGGCTGATGCATGGTGGAGCATCATTGGCTGACAAGAACGTGACTAACGAGTCTGTGGTCTCCTCCTCCTCACCACTCTCCCCACCCCACCCCACCCTGCTTAAAGCTGACGATGAGATCTGTGAGCCGCAGGGCGTCTGCGGAGGTCAGATAGGGGCAGTGTGGCCGGCAATCCCGAGAAGGACAGCTCGGAGGATGTTGCTTTTCTGATCTTTTTATAGTGGTGCCGCACATAGGCCGGGGGCAGAAGTGACCGGGGCCTCTGTCTGTTGGTGTTGCCAGGGGCTACTTAGAGGGCTAGCCCCTGCCCATCCAGGCTCAGTGGACCTCTTCTTCCTCCGTCAGGTTTTCCGTGGGGACACATCCCCCATCCTTAGCCTTTCTTTGCTCATCCCAAAATGGTGGCGTCACTGACTGTGCTTCTGGTTTTGGCAGCTGGTAAACCGTTTAAAGGTGTCTCGGGCTTCGATGATAATTGCATTCTTAAAATGTGCGTGCCTTCGATCGAGTGGACTCGGTGCGGTGCATTCACCTCAGAGCAAGTGGTGTGAGCGAATCCGTTGGTCCTAAAATGTCAGTGTTGGCTGCTCCTCAGGCGGGCCCTTCTGGTAATAGCTGGAATGCTCGCGGCCCAGCGAGAGGCCCGCGACCTGTCAACTCTTTCCTGTGTGTGTTACCAGCTCCTTGTCACTTTAGGAGTTTGAACCTATGTCAAGGGGATTCTCCAGGCTGCAACGTACAAGAAAGGTGCAAACACGAATGCATGTTGCTCGTTTTGGGGGGCCTCGTTTGGCTGATTTACAAATTCAATCAAAAAACAAACCAACACACCTCATTGGCCCTTGTAAAATCTGCACTTTTTTTTCCCTTTTGCGGGGCAAACTTTGCATTTTGGTCTTGGTTTTTTTTTTCCCTTTTGAATCCCCCATAATGCATTCTGTTTGCCCTTCCTTGTAGGGTCAGCCAGGAGAAAAGGGAAAGACCAGCCTGAGAGTCGGCGCCCTGGACCTTTGCCGGCCTCCCCTCCTTCTCAGTTGCCCCGCAACACAGGGGAGCAGGTTTCCAATACTAATGGTACACACCAGTTCTCACCAGCGGGGTTAAGTCAAGACTTTTTCAGCACATCCCTGGCAAGCCCCAGCCTCCCCCTGGCTTCTACAGGAAAATTTGCACTAAACTCTCTCCTCCAACGACAACTAATGCAGTCCTTCTACTCCAAGGCCATGCAGGAAGCAGGAAGCACAAGCATGATTTTTTCAACAGGTCCATACAGCACAAACTCCATATCTTCCCCAAGTCCATTACAACAAAGCCCAGATGTAAATGGCATGGCCCCATCTCCCAGCCAGTCAGAAAGTGCTGGGAGCATCTCCGAGGGCGAGGAGATAGACACTGCAGAAATCGCCCGGCAGGTCAAAGAGCAGTTGATCAAGCACAATATTGGACAGCGCATTTTCGGACATTATGTCTTGGGACTGTCTCAAGGGTCTGTGAGCGAGATTCTGGCCCGGCCCAAGCCGTGGAATAAACTGACCGTGCGTGGCAAGGAGCCCTTTCACAAGATGAAGCAGTTCCTCTCGGATGAGCAGAACATCCTGGCCCTGCGCAGCATCCAAGGCAGACAAAGAGGTGAGAGATGGGCCTGAGTGGGCGGCAGCGTGCGAGCCTGTCACAGAGCTCTGTGTGTGTGCGTGTCTGCGTGTGCAATGGGACATGCATACATCACATCAGGTCAAATTCTCTTCAGTTCTACCCTTTCCAGAGCTTGAGGGTCGACTGGCATAAACTAAAGGTGTTAGACTTGGGACAGCTGGCCTTTGAAATTTGCTCAGCACCTTGCACTTAGTTATCACAGTACTTCAGTACTAGGTATTGAATTGGAGGGAATTCCATCATGCACAGCATCCCAGGACGTTTAGCATCCATAGATAAGTCGGCCATGGGTATGGCCTCACACTGAGAGGAGTCCCTATGTGCCATCCAGCCCCGTAGCAGCAGCAGCACCTGAGCTCGATCTTCATGCAGAGCTGGTTCTGTGCAGAGCACACATCTCATACCCCACAGGAGAGGGTGTGTCCTTGGTCACCTTACCTACAGTGTCTGTGTTCCGTTAGTGATTTGTTTAGTGATATGATCAAAACACACCTGCCTTGAGTAAAACACATGAAGGTTTTATTCAAACACCCTTCCTACTCCACCCTCCATAAAAAGATAACGAGTCGATCACATTCACACTTTAAGAATTTCTTCCCTCTTTAGGAACAGGGGATCAGTCTGTTCAGTCGGCAGTGATAGAGAGAGGTCATTTTATCAGACACGTTTGAAACACCCTGAAATTTAGATTCAGACAGAGAAGGGAAATGTTTTGAACAGCATCAATTTGCACCAAGAACATAGAGCATTTTCTGGTGATGTTAACTGAAATTGAATGTCTTTGGATGATTAATGGGAGCCTTGCTCTGGGGGCTGGTGGTTGATTTGCTTGGAGGCAGTTCCCTCCCTCTGGCCCTCTTGGCATTGACGCCATAGGCCGCAACTTAGGTTTGTCTGATCTCCTTTCGCAGTAGAGCCGTGGCCTCTGTGGGCCAGTCAGCCAGGGAAGGGCCTCTCCGAAGTTTCTGGTAAACCCTGAGTTGCGCAGGAAACCCTGAGCCCTTTCTTTAGCAACAGGCGGCTCAGGTTCCATGTCACACAGCCCATGTCGTCGACACCAGCATTCCCCTGATTGTTTTGTTCTTACCACACTTGTTTTTCAACAGAGAATCCAGGCCAGAGCCTGAACAGACTATTTCAGGAAGTACCGAAACGAAGAAGTGGGTCTGAAGGTATGTTGCAGGCAGGTGTTTTTCTTTGCAGTCAGTAACCTAGAAAGCAGCATGTCCTTAGCTGTGTATTGGGGTTAAAACTGTGCAGTGTGATTCTGGCCTGGAACCTGATGGAAAAACAGCTAGTAAGTATAAAACAAAGCACGGGTTCAAGTCCACCTAGCCCCTTCCTTGAGCTGCCCAGTCGTCCAAGCGCAGCCGAGGTGAGGAGAGGCCTCACTGAGATGAGTCCCCTACGTGCACAGCCCAACCCCTGGCAGATTCCAGTGATGCCCTTCCCGTTTTCTCAGGAGCAGGTGAAAGAATGACAGTTGTCGCTCTGAAAAAAGTCAGGTGACCAAGTCAGATCAGATACTGCTGCTTCCTTATACTTTTAACTCTGAAATAAGTTAAAGGTCCTATGGAGTGGACTGGTTCCAAATGCAACTGGCTCTCCTGTGGCCTCGGTGAGCCAACCTCTACTGCACTCCTTGGGGCTGCATCTTTAATGCGGCTTTGTCCCTGTGGTATACTTGCTTTTAAATGGTTTAATGTGGCAGTTCATATTTAGTACGATAGTGAAAAAGTAAAAGATCTAGACAGCTTCCAAAAAAAACTGGGGCCAGCCCTGGGGCCATGGTAGCCTCAGTGCGTCTGCACTTGTGGCTGCTCTGCAAAGCAACCCCGTGCATTCTTATCCTTTAGGAATTTCCGCAGGCTTCTCTCCTCCTTCATAAATGTTCAAAAGAAAGTATGTGATAATCCCAAAATTTTAAGTTAAGCCTTGTGCCTCCAAATAATCAATAAATCATCAGTCAGCCTCCACCCTCAGCTTTCCTTCCTGTTTGTCTTGTTTGGGGATACCAGCCTCCAGTAATGTACAGAGCCTGAAAATAGTCCCAAGCCAAAGCAGTTGTTGGAGTTGTTTTTAAATGACTCATGAAAAACATTGCCTTGTAACCTTTTCATCTGTTTTTATACTGAATTAAATGATTTGTCCTCCCTGGTACTAACCCACGGGTGATGTCCAGCTAGGGCAAATGAGAGAGCCGCTCCCAGTGGCTGAATGACATTTACCATAAGGTAGATTCTGCAGAAAGCCCTTCCTGCTCCGTACAGGCTATGAACTTGCACTCACAGCAAGAACAGGCCAATGGGAGGCCATGCCTACCTCCTTACCATCATCAGCCTCAACTTGGGGCTGTTTATCAGAATGACGTCTTCGTGCAGCGCTGATTTGCATTCCAGTTTGGGTTTGATGTCATTGCTGTGACTTCTCTCTGCAGGTAACATCACCACCCAGATCCGAGCCTCAGAGACTGGTTCCGATGAAGCAATCAAGTCTATCCTGGAACAAGCCAAAAGGGAGCTCCAAGTGCAGAAAACTGGTATGGCTTCTACTTCCTTGGCCCTGTCTTCCAAACTTAATTAAAAATCATCCCTGAGTGTTCTGGCCAGCAGTAAGAAACTTAAAAAAAAAAAAAGTGAACGTATGTTTTCAAGCATTTAGGCATATGCAGAGGAGAGCAGATCTTTGTGGTCTGTATTTTGCTAGTAGTTACCATCTTCTTGGAGTGTCATTCCATAGCATCAGCTCAAGAAAAGTACCCCTGGCCTAGAATCTTCTTCACTTAAATTAGCAAGTAGTTTGTATCAAGTATCCTTTCTTAAATGCAATACAGGCTTTTGTTATTTGGTCGTTATCATACCTGACCAAACGCAACCAAAAAAGAATGCACAAAAAATAAATTCTTCCCAACTGCTTTATGGAATTGAACATTGCGAGCTAAAAGCAGTGGCTTCTGTGAATAGATGAACACCTCCGTGGCCTGCCTCAGGAATTGGAGTTCCCTAAGAGCTGTGCTTCCCGATAAGAAAGAACTCACACATTTCAGCTTTTTCTTGGTTAAGCTCTGATTGTTTGAGAGGAACACCATGCTACAGACCCATATCATTACCTTCTGTTTTTGTTTTTTGTTTCTTAATATATTGAAACACAATCGATTGTACATCTCTGTGGGGTATGGCGTTGAATATCAATACCTGTGTGCAGTATGTTTCTCAAATCAGGATAATTAGTCTATTCAACCGTACACAATGTAATCATTTTTTTTTTTTGCAACCTTTTACAAATTTCTCACCAATCCCCCTTCGCCCTCCCCCTCTCCCACCTCTGGTGGCTTCAGTTCTGTTCTCTCCTTATGAAAGTTCAGCGAATTATTGTGATTGTTGTATCTTTCTTTCTTTTTTATTTGTTTGCTTTTTCTTAGCTCCCACTTATGAGGGAGGACATGAGGTATTTCTCTTTCTGTGCCTGGCTTATTTCACTTAACATAATTTTCTATACATTTATCCACGTTGCTGCAAATGATGGAATTTCATTCTTTTTTATGGCAGAGTAGTATTCCATTGTGTATACATACCACATTTTCCTTATCCAGTCGTCCATTGATGGACATTTAGGTTGGTTCCATATTTGGCTATTGTAAATAGAGCTGTGATGAACATGGGAGTGCAGGTGTCCCTCCAACATGATGATTTCCATTCCTTTGCGTATATACCCAGCAGTGGGATTGCTGGATCGCATGGCAGTTCTATCCGTGGTTGTTTGAGGAACCTCCATACTGTTTTCCATAATTAATGGCTGCATTAATTCACAGTCCCACAGCAGTTTAGGAGGGCTCCCTTTTCTCCAGGTCCTTGCCAGCATTTCTTATTCCCAGATCATACCATTTGCAGGTGCTGGGCCAGCCCCACACTTCTACTCAGTTGGAGGCACCAGGGGTGTGGCCTGAGCATGTGCATTTAATAAGCCCAGCAGGTGACTTGATGCACAGCCCTAGTTAACAATCACTGATCTAGCCCGTTACCTATCCCAATCTACAGATGGGAATACTGAGGACTGACTGGCAAGACCTTATTGCTTCTCCAAGCCCACAGAGCCCCAGGCTCCTGGGCCAGGGACTTCCCTGAACCTCATTCACTTCCCTTCTCTCTTCCTCTCCGTGAGGCTCACTGCTGCCAGCCACAACACAGTTGTCCACCCAGAAGAGAATTTGAGCTGACCTAAATATGGTCATTTATCACTGGAAGATTCTGATCTCTTGTTGCAATTACTAATAGAAATTATGCTTCTAGAGTTTGAAAAAAACTCTAGAATTTAGAATTTCTAGAATTTAGAAAAAACACTTAGAATTTTGGAATGTGACACAGGATAATTAATGTAAAGTTTTAAAACTCTCAGGGGAAGGAAGCCCAGGCAGACACATTGCTGAGCATTTTCATGCTCCCCCTTCCTCCCACCCTTTGATGGGCAGGCCTCGCTTTCAGCTGGTGTGTAACCGAGGCCATCAGGTCACTTAGCAGAGCGCCAGTCCTCTGTCCTCACTGCTCAGACAAGGTGCTCTAATGTTTCATTGATGGGGAAGTGTTGGGGAAATAGCAGTGTATTCAGTGTATTTCTCCCAAAGAATCCTCATTTTGTGGTAGATTGAGGTGAATGAAGTTGGGCTGGGAGAAGTGTGTGCCCCACTGAAGGAGGCAGTAGCATCACAGTCTCACCTCTGTGTTTGCTCCATGCAGCAGAGCCAGCCCAGCCTTCGTCCGCATCCAGCAGCGGCAACTCCGACGACGCCATCCGCTCCATCCTGCAGCAAGCCCGCCGAGAAATGGAGGCCCAGCAGGCTGCCCTTGACCCTGCCTTAAAACCATCACCTCTGTCCCAGACGGACATTGCCATCCTGACCCCCAAGTTACTGTCCACCTCGCCCATGTCCACCGTGTCCAGCTACTCTCCTCTCACTGTCTCCCTGAAGAAGCCCCCCGCAGCTCCCGAGGCCAGCGCATCTGCTCTGCCCAACCCCCCAGCCCTCAAAAAGGAGGTCCAGGAGGCCCCCGCGCTGGACCCCCAGGGTGCAGCTGATGCCACGCAGGGGGTTCTGAGACACGTGAAAAATGAGCTGGGCCGCAGCGGCGTCTGGAAGGACCACTGGTGGAGCACAGTCCAGCCAGAGAGGAGGAATGCCGCAGCTTCCGAGGAGACCAAGGTCGAAGAAGCCAGTGGTGGGAAAGAGAAGGGCGGCGGCGGCAGCCAGCCACGGGCCGAGCGCAGCCAGCTCCAAGGACCCTCGTCGTCCGAGTACTGGAAAGAGTGGCCCAACGCCGAGTCCCCATACTCCCAGAGCTCGGAGCTGAGTCTGACTGGAGCCAGCCGCAGCGAGACACCCCAGAACAGCCCTCTGCCTTCCTCCCCTATCGTGCCCATGGCAAAGCCTACCAAGCCTTCGGTCCCTCCACTGACCCCCGAGCAGTATGAGATCTACATGTACCAGGAAGTGGACACCATCGAGCTCACCCGGCAGGTTAAGGAGAAGCTGGCCAAGAATGGCATCTGTCAGAGGATCTTCGGGGAGAAGGTAAGGGATTGGATTTGGGGGCTTTGGTTTCCCCATCTCTTCTCCTTGCTTAGGACTTGCTTGCTGTCCTGGAGGATGTGGCCATTTCTGTTTTAGTCAACCCAAGAGCATCATATGTCCTCCACTCCCAAACTTCCGGATTGGCTAGTAGTGACTGTTCCAGCTCCCTGATTCCATTTGCTGAGCCCCCGTTGCAGACCAGAGTCTGGGCTGGACCTTTCAGTTACGTTGGGAGGCTGATGGTAAAATCACCATTTGACGGATAAGGAGACCAAGGCTCAGGGAAGTTAACTACTTGCCCCAAGCTGGCAGGTGACTAAGTCCAAGTCCAGTCTCCGCTGCCAAGTAGAGCCAAGAAGCACTTCTGCAGGCTGTTTTGGCCAAAAAAGATCTGATCCCATCACACAGAGGGTCAGCCAGCATGCAGAGAAGCAAAAGGGACCTGATAGAGAAAGCTGTGTAAAGCATGCATGTACCTTTCTCATGTAACTCAGCAGGCACTTGGGTATTGTCCAGCCTGTGGAGACACAACTTGCCCAGGAATCCATGACTAGTGGTGGTACAGGCAGAGCTGCCCGGGGCTGCCCTTGCCTCCACAGCCCCCTTCCCTGTCTCAGGAACATGCTCTAGTTCATGGATGAGCTTCCAGACTCTTTCTGTTCTTGGCGCTTCCCTGGTAACTGAGATTCTGGATAATGGGAATTTACCGTGCCTGTAAAATCTAAAATAAACATAATGCCCCAGTGTTGTTTTAGATTAAGTAATGAATTGCTGAACATAATGAAAGGTTCTTCACTCCCCTAAAAGGTTAGACTTCCTTGGGTGGACACATGGCTGGATCAGCAGTGGCCCCCGAGGGGCCCTGCATGCTCCCCACACCATGCTGTCCTGCCTTGAGATCAACATTTGCAATATACTGCGCTGTGAATCCTTATGATATCTGATTGTTAACTCTTTATTCCGATTTTGCAAAAGGTGATGGGGGTGAATAGAAGTGAGGATAAGAATTTAAAGTCCCTTGAAATTTCTAGTTCAGTGTTGTAAAAATACCATTTGAGAACATTTAAATAGACATTTGTGCTCATGCCTTAAATTTAGCAGAGACTTAATAGCGTTGAACTTGTTTGGCCCATGAGTGCAGTTTATTCTGGAACTTGAGAACTTTTCAAAAGAGTGATCGGAGGCAGCCCCTAAATATCTCAGGGCTGCATCTGTGTCTTGTGTGGGGTGTTTGTGCCTATACATATGTATGGCCATATGTGAGCATAAGAAAACTCGGGTATGTGCATGCAACTTGTCAATTGTCTGCAGCTGAATCTTACTCCCAGACTGGCTCCCCGTCCCTACCAGCTCACCTCTGTGCCCCCACCTTTGAGCAGGATGTGATCAGAGAGAGCCAGCCTTTCTAGATACCAGTCTGGCTTAGCACCAGCAAAGGATACCAGCTGCCCACGTCCCACTGGCATCCGCTGCCTCTGTAGAGGTTCTCACCCGGCACCTCAGCCTCTCCTTGTACCACAGGCTAGAGCAAGATGCTTTCAAATGTGTCCTCCTTAGGTTGTCAGGGTGACAACCCTGCAGCCCTGGCATACTCGAGACCCTGGGGTGAGGATCCCTCTCCTCCCTCTCACAGCCCGCTTCACCCTGGGAGCTGAAAGTCCCTGAAAGTCACCCTGTGACTGTAACTGTGGCTCCCCTGTGCCCAGGCATCAGCCCGCCAGTGATCCTGAAATGCCTATTCCCCAGCCCAAATTGTCATGGAACCAGGCTGTGGTTCCATGCTCAGAGGTCAGCACTCGAGCCTCCCTGTGTGTCATCATCTCTGCCATGCCTGCATCCCGCGGTATGTGCCACCACTGAGGCATTTCGTGGAGCCAGGCTCATGCCTAGGGACTGATGGCCATGTGTCTTTGGTTGCCGCTCCAGGTTCTAGGCCTGTCCCAGGGCAGCGTCAGTGACATGCTGTCCAGGCCGAAGCCATGGAGCAAGCTGACCCAGAAAGGCCGAGAACCCTTCATCCGGATGCAGCTCTGGCTGAACGGCGAGCTGGGCCAGGGTGTCCTGCCCGTCCAAGGGCAGCAGCAAGGGCCAGGTAATGGCAGCCTGCCCCAGGAGGGAACCGGGGAAAAGAGGGATCTGTGGGGGAGGCGGCCAGCCACAATCTCAGCAAGAACCTGGTGACAGCAGCCCCGCCCTGGGCTAGTATTGGGGGGTTGGGGGAGGAATCTGTTCAAGGAGGCAGCCAGCCACCCCCTCTTATGTGGGCTGGTGCTGGGAGGTAGAGAAAACTGCCTCCTTCATCTACAACCTGTTGCCATGGGACTGACTTTAGTTTTGGGGAAAGAGAAGATTGTGCCTGACTAATTTGATAAGCAGCAGAAAATGAGTTACCAATTAAGAAAATGCTGTTTATACGTAAATATAGGTAAAGTCAAGTAGCTAAATCAGGGAATCAGAATGAAAATCAGCCAAAGGCATAGAAGTTAAAGATGCCATGGGCAAGGGCTGTCGCCTAGCTTACCACCAACAGTGCCTTCCAGGCCTGCACGCCCCAATCCCAGCCCTTCCCTGGGGGAGTTGAGACCCCCACCCCTTGGGCCTTTGTGGGTCTGTCTCTCCCAGTGCTACGTTCAGTTAGGAAGCTTTAAAGGCACCCAGAGCTTTGGTCCCTCCTTTAATTGTAACCCTTTTTCTTGTTTAGTCCTCCATTCCGTGACATCACTACAGGACCCCCTACAGCAGGGCTGTGTGAGCTCAGGTAACCAGCCTATTTCTGTTGGTTTTTTATGAAATATGTCACTGCCTTTTATGTTTTTCTGTCCTCTCAATCTGTGGGAGATTCAAAGGGATCCCTTGTTCTGGATTGGTTGAGCTAAAAATATGGTACTCCGTGGGCAAACTGGATTCCTGTTGGTCTTATTTTCTAATGGAGAGCGGGAGTCAGTAGCTGAGTGGAGAGGCTCCTCTGGCATTCGCTGGCCCACAGTAAAGTGCTCCTTCGCTGCTCTGTTGCAAGCTAGGCCCTGTTGCTGTCTGCGTTCAGGGCCGGGTGCAAGTCAGAGACAGATTCTGTGCTCAGGGAACTTCCAGTCTCATAGGAGGAGACAAGGCACGGGCAGGCATCGCCATCCCAGCAGGGTCATGTTAGGGGGACATCTTGTTCATCCAAAAGGCCCCAGTCAGACTTTGAGCAAGAGAGGGGAAGATTGGTGCATGAGGATGGGGGTGGTAGGAAGGAAGGAGCTGAGGAGCTACTGGACAGTTCAGGGTGTGATCAGATGCAGAGCTGGTGATGCTTAGAGAAGTGGAACCAAGGCTGGAAATGGAGCCTAGGGGCAGGCAGTGGAGGGTGGTGGATGAAGCTCGGCCACGTCTCTCATCATCTGAGAGCCCTGAGATGTCTCTGGTTGGACTTGTTCTTTCTGCCCGGAGGATTCCTGGCCATGATGCCTGGACGCAGCCCACCTCTGTGGCCATGGCCACTGCTCCCTCCTGCTCTGAGCCCATGATTGTGGCTGCGCTTTCTCACCCAGCTTTTAGGAACAGCCAGCATCGTGAGCCATTCCTCTTTTTTCCTTTCTTTATTTTTCTAAACATGTTGATTAGTCTCCATATCCCATTGATTCATTGAAAACACAAACAAAGCTAAGTGAGGAGTGTGCAGCCCGCCAGCCTGCTGGAAGCTTTATGAGGAGAAACATGCGTAGGGAGGGGAACAGCTGGTCGGCAACGGCTGCCGCTGCTGCAGGGCCTGAGACCCGCGTGCAGATGCAGCCAGAGTGTGTCGTTGTATCCAGGGTCCTAGTTGAGATGTTTGCGTGCTTTAGGAGTTCTGGTTTGATTTTGACCAAATAGGGACAGAGGTTGGATCTCACCTGCACCGTGGCTTTCCTTGGCTGGACATCTAAATGGAGTGGTCATTGATCTGTAGAAGGATCACTTCATTTCTGGGCTGGCCAATTTAATTAACGAGGACCAGAGAACTTCTCCAGCATTGGCTTGCATTCAGAATACATTAGGGAAAATAATGGACGTAATTGTTTCTGCTACAGTTTTGTGGAGGTTTACATGGAAAATTTGCCTCGGCTCCTGCTCTGATGGAAAGTTGGCCTCTCCCTTATTCTTGAGCGTTTGCTGCCTCTTCAGAGGCAGGGCTAAACTTGGCGGGACCTGACTGATGTTTTCTAGATCAAAACCCCCGTTCCTAAATAAAACAGGAAGTCTCCCTTGGTTCCAGGTCTGTTACGATCAATGCCAAACCTTCTTCATGTCCGAACAAATCCTCAAAGAATGGCTTTTTACTTTTTATTGTAGCAGATCATCACCACTGTGCTGGAACATTCATACGACAGTCACATTTACAACCTAGGAAAAACACACTGGGCTCCTAAGAGGAATGTAAATGATATTTGTAAAATGTCAAATTACTTTATAGAATAAAGTCACTGAAAACTCTTGGGAAGTCTGCAGATTAGTGAACCTCTGGATAAAACTGAGTACAGTAGAATTTGCTAGTGGGTTTTGTGATGAGGCAGCGGAGGGCTCTGTCCTGGTGTCACCCCAGCAAGAGGGGAGGTTGATGGCAGGTCACTTACCCAACACTGCTGTTGTCGGTCAGGAACAAGGAAGCCACCAGTTGAAACAATAATTATGGCGACTATGGAGAAAAACAGAAAAATCCTTTTTATAGGAAAATTTAACATTTAAAATCATGTTGGTAGCTAAGCAAAAATGTTTCTCTGGGCTGAGAAGACCACAAGGTGCTTGTCAAGAGGAAAGGAAAGGTTATCACAGTTTGTCATAGAGTGGCAAGATTGTGGGCAGTAGTTCTGCTTGTTTGAAATTTCTTTACTATCAGTTGTTATCTTTTCAAGAAAGTTTCAAAAAACTAAAGTGGTTATGCTTTCAGTATATGGAATTTAGATTAGAAAATAGAATTATTTTTTAACAGTGAGTGTTAGTAAATCCTAACCTAACTTTCAGCAGTGCTTCCATAGCCAGGACATTAAGCTGCTTCTGCTGCTGAGATTTCCCCAGGATTCTGTTTCCTGCTTTACCGTGCCTACCATGTAACCCTTCCAAAAGGCCCCTGGGCTCAGAAAGATGCTCTGTCCCTGCTGGTAGCTCCATCAGGTCTCTGCCTGGAGCAGCTCCACATGGCTCCATCCCTGGTGTGGTTCATTCCTCACTGTTGGTAAGAAGCACTCGGTGCCTGAGAATTCAGGCCTTCATCCCAGGTATGCAGGACTTTCAAAGACTTGCCTTCTGTCTGCTCGGCCAGTCACAGCCCCTCAGCGGGGTTATGGTCTCAGCAGAGGTCGTGGGGGCCTAATGAGATGGCTGTGTGCTTGGTTACCATGGCAATCAAGTGCCATGTGAGTGGAGTAACCTCCCTTACCTGAGCAACCACTGCTGGCACAGAAACCTGTTTTCCTCGCTGAAGAATCCCCGCTTGCCCCTCTCTGCCCAGCTCTTTTGCCCCTCAGTGTCTCCACATTCCTTAACGATGTGTATGTCAAATGTGATGATCAGTTTTACAATGAGGAGAGAAACTGAAGTTCCAGTCGCATTATCATTCTTTTCTCCTCAGTGGACACAACCATTTCTACATGTTCCTTTGATAATCTGAGTATTGGGATGGCCGCATTGGGCATGAAGGAAATTTGATGCCATTTTTAACCACCCATGTCACTAGTGACCTATGGCTTTTTCTTGGAAGCTGATGAGGCTTCAGTGAAGAGGAAGGTGAGCAGTGAGCTCCATGCCAACCATATAAGTAACTTTTTTTTTTTTAAGGAGGCTTTCAAAGGACAAATTTTCAGATCATTTACCTGTTAATATATTTTCTGGTAAGTCTTAATTTTCTGCAAACATTTTTGTGTTGGCTTCTTTCAAAGTCCCCAGTGCCTTAGCAGGTGGGAGGGAGCGTGATTATATACAGGGTTGTCTCTGATATCTAATATGGAAAACAGCATGGCAGGTCATCCTTGGGGATTGACTCTCTGAGTCTCCCTTTTGCTTGTCTTTCATTCCAGGTATCGCCCATCACTCCTGACCTCACACTGTAGGCAGTAGCAGTGTGGGGGGGGGGGGGGACGGGGG